TTTATTTATCGGGATGTATTTATTCATAAAAGTAATATCATTACAGTTGCCCCATTTAGAAGGGGTTTACACTTTCGATACGCAGCGGTTTCGTTCTTGAGACTGATCGCGAACCCGCAACTGTAGGACAGCGGGATTGATGAACAAGATTCTGTCCATGATGCTTGAGTTGTCACCGAAGTTCTTCTGCGGAGAACAGCACCGGGAGTAACGTGCCATTTTTGCTGCTCAAGTTGGCGTGCCACACCAAAGTGTTTTGTATCCAGAATCTGAAGATAGCATTCGTGGTGTTCCTGACCAAAAAACAGTGCAGACGTAGGACGAAGCCATGTCGAGCCGAGAAAACAGATTCGACCATAATAACTTGGTTCGGGATCATACGTGCACCAGAGTTAGTTGGAACCAGGATGTCGACTGAGTGCATTGACAAAAGCGTTGCCAAGTTTGGGCGAAGTCGACGGAACCAGAAGGGTGATGGTCGGACGCGTAAGCCCAAGATAAAAAAAAATTAAGGAAAAAAGAAAACGGTGTAGTTCTCATTTAGTATGCGGTAGAATCCCATACCCTATGCGTTGGTTATTGGGAGGTTAGTCGCGAAACAGTTCAGGTAGATATACCTAGAGACGGGAACGCTAGATAGTAGTCTAGTTCGTACTACGTGGTTGAGAACTTGAGACTGCAATCTCATACCAAATCAAGGGCGGTGTGGTCTGCTGATCTGGATGTGAGACTGGAGTCTCATCCGTAAATAGTGAAAATGACAAGTGCTGATGTCTGGGACCTGAGAATGAGGTCTCTGATGTATCTAGCTTGGGGTCAAAACTAGATGTAGTGGTTCCGCTAGTAGATTTGATAAGTCTGGCATTGGGTCTGAAAATATCAGGTATGGCACTGTCATTGACGTGTGCTGGCTTGAGATGATCGATACTGACTATCTCGAAGCGGCCACGTCGATCACCCTTGAAGGTCTTTTTGTCACGGAAAATCGCGTGAAAGGTCCTTCGTAAGGCCGTCTCATAGGTTTCTGTACCGAATCGACCCGTATGAAAACATATGAACGTGTAAATATCTCTCAAGGGAGAGCGACTTGTCGATTCTTTATTCAAGTTGGCAACGCCGGGAGTGTTCGCATATACTCAGGCGGACTCGGATCTGCCAAAATTATCACTGCTTCGTGGTAAGAAAAATTCCCCAGGCAAACGCAGTGTCGTGCCGTATACAATTTTAGAGGCGGAGCATTAAATATCTGTATTTGTGCTCGTTCTGATACATAAGAGGATGAGCGGTAAGGCCCCGTACCAATTGTTATTTTCGTATTCTCGAAGAGGGTATTTGAGTTAGTTGTTAAACAACTTAACTAAAACATTTGATGCTAGATGATAGGTGGTAGTAGTTATGTGTTCCTTACCAAGCTGACGGGATAGCTAGGAAAATAAATGAGACTCAAAGTTCTGTTATCCGTCAGTCGGGACGTTCTACGAAGCAGTGAGCCATTGTCTACGCCGTAATTGAAGTGATGAGAATAGCCTAGGGCCATGTTATGAAACGGTCGATGCACGTGGGCATGTGACCACACCCGTGCGGTGTTGGCAACGGTCTAACAATGTCTATGTGAACGTGATCGAAGCGAGTATCAGGCACAGCAAACGTGCCAATAGGGGCAGCTACGTGCCTATGCACTTTAGATCATTAACATTGTGAGGACTGCTTCACCCATATATGGACATCTTTATTTATGGATGGCCGGAAGTATCGTGCAGCGACGAGGCGTAATGTGGATAGGGGTGCTTCCTGTCACTGAAGGAATGCAAATGTTGTGCTTCTGTACAGGAGAGATCACTTGTTTGGGCGACAGCCATAGCAAGGAGATCAAGCGCCGGTAAAGTAACTGCATTCACTTGGATACGCGACAGATCATCGGCAACATTGTTCGACTCGCCTTTAACGTGGTCAAGGTCTGTCGTGAACTCGGAGATATAATCTAAATGTCTGCAATCTCGTGGTGAGTAGCGGCCAAACTTGGTGTGCAGAGCATACGTTTGAGACTCATGGTCGGTGAATAGGGGCGAATCGCGACCTTCTACTACGTATCGGAAGTTTTCGATGGCACATTAGGCTGGAAGGATTCCTTGATCAAAAGCGCTATATCTTGTCTCTGTGGAAGTGAGAAAAATGCAGAGGTTGCCAACTTTCAGAGGCGCCCCGTCACATCACAGCTCCAATAGCAAAATCGGATGCATCAAGCGCTATACTAAGCGTGGATAATGGGTCAGGATGAGCGAGGAGTGTGGCTTGAGCCAAAGCTGTTTCAGTCTCCCAAAATACAGTCCGCGTGGTATCATTTAGTTTGAACTGGCGTGGAATATCGCGAAGTAAATCGGTTAGTGGTCGTAAACGTTCGGCCACATGTGGGATGAAACGGCGGTAGAAATTAACCAGACCATGGAATACCTTCAGTTACTTGAATCTGGAGGGTAAAGTTTACTCCATTGATGCACCCACTTTGTCCTCACAAAGTAAGATACCCTCTTGCTTAATACAGTGGCTAAAGAATTTTATTTCTGATTTCCAAACTTCATGCTTATCCGAGTAGACTGTTATTCCATTATCTGAAAGACGCTACAATAGCAGTGTTGAATGATGATAATGTTTATCTAAGTTTAATGACGCGATTAGCAGGTCATCAATTTAGACGTCAACAAAATCTAAGGCTCATGCCGTTCTAATGATAAGCCTTTGGAAAATTTGAGCAGCATTTCATAGTCCAGATGGCATTCGTAGGAACTCAAAAGGACCAAAAGGAGTCGTGATAGCAGTTTACTCAATATCTTCAAGAGCGACAGGGTTTGATGATATGCTCGTACCAGATATAGCTTAGAAAAGATATTCATGTCCTTGGATGATGCCTTGATGTCGTGTACATGGGGGATGGGGTAACTAACAAAATATGTATCTACGTTCAGTGCTCTGTAGTCGCCACATGGTCTCTAACTAACATCATCCTCCTTGCGAACTATGTGGAGAGGCGAGACCCAGGGACTGTGAGGAGAACGAATTATACCTGAAGTTAGTAAGTTTTCAGAACCATGTCTAGCGAAAACTAATTTGTCAGGTGCCAGTTGGCTAGGTTTTGCCGTGATTTGGAGGCCGCGGGTGATGATATGGTGTACCACACGGTTAGCCATCGATAGGATCTCCTCGAGAGATTTATTTAACTGATGAACTTTATCGAATAAAGCGTGAAAACACGCCTGTAAGTCGGTAGGCATCTGCATGAGCTTGAGATTCATGGGACAGCTTAGTAGATTCCAAATTACAGCTCTAAATTTCTTTTTTGAAGATGCCATCATTTAAATATCGTTTTATAGAATAAATGTTTGGGTCACTAATCGTTCGCTTTCCCATTTTCAACGTACAATTTGGCGTTTATATTAGAAATATGTCTGAATTCATACGCATTTAACAATAAGGACGTATGCTTAATACATAGCGTATTACCTGTCATTTGTCTTCAAATCTTCGTCAATGTAACATCTAGATGGGACAATTTTTAACGAATGATATCAAATATGCGGAACAGTTTAACTTACTTTCATCTGTTGGTGTTGGGTGTAAAATCAACACAAATGACCTCCAGAAAATTTCCATTCATTTTTACTTGATCCTGTACACTGAATGTTACAGTTGCAGCTCGGTTAACACCCCCACCACAGTACCTTGCTACCGTTATGTAAAGTTGATAACATATCGCTGAAGCAGCCACAACCTTATAAACTGTAAATCTGTTAAATAACTTATGTTTGAAATTCTAGATAAAATGTACATTGACAGTCTTTCGGTCATTCTCATCAACATGTTTAATGATTTTTTGAAATCTCTACCAGTGTTTACCTTTGTTTTCACAATTTGGAGCTGATTATCACTCGATCTCCCAAGCCATGCATTGTTTTTCAAATACTTTTTTATCACAAGGATGGTTATGTACCATCCTGAATGTAGCCTTCACATACCAGTGGAAATCATAACTCACAAAAAGTATTGCTTGGCAACCAGTAAATTTTCATCTACTTAGAAGTGAGCAATAAAGCAGTTACTCATCCTCTAATTCTTTAACCATGGTCCTCTGGTTTTGGTTTATGTCCAAAACGACAGAAATGCACGACAGTTGGTGTTAGAACTTCTGGCTCCTGGTCGTTGTTTTATGTGATGTTAATTTAGTCAAGAACCTTCCGAAGGAAATCGATAACGTCTCTGACTTGATTCCAGGTTGTCCAGTTTCTTGAGTTCCATAATCTTTCCTTATTGATCACAAGTATTCGCAACTATTGGGAATTCAGTGTTCGTTTGACTAGTTGACTAATGAGGATTATCAATGATACTGTAGAGAATGGTAAACTATAGACTGTTTCTCTTCATTGTTCTCGGTGACATTAGCAGCACTCAAATGCAGATATGAGGATATTTAGGGAATTCAAGGTGACATCTAGGATGATTATCGCTAAAAAAGATATTCAAGCTCCTGATATATAGAAGAAAATTCTCAGAATGAAATGGAAGAGAATTTTATGACATGAAACACGTAAGCATTCCGAAAGGTATACACTGACTTGTGTAGCAGTAACATAAAGACTTTAAAGAACACAAGATATCGGGAAAAAAACTAGCACCAACATTAGGAAAACATCGCATGGATTTTCTTACGCTGAAAGATTGTGAACTGTAGCGACAAATTGCAACTAATTGATCTCCGGTCTGGTAATGTGATAGCTGCTGGTATCCAGAAACCCAACTGCCGTGAAACAAACGTTTTCATTCAAATCATGGGACATGCAACTACCTGCCAACCGGTAAGAATCAGAAAGTCAAGTGGCTAGACCCCCATTCACTGGATATTACCAAACACCTGGGACCGTACCGAAAGGACAAGAATAGAGCGAAAAGAAATCAACTGGCTCATACTAGCTGGTTAGAAAGGTATTGATAATTGGAGGCACTTTTGATTGGTTGTTAAGTTTCCTGGCGGAATTGCAAAACTGCGATAAGTTTTTTCGCACTGTCGTTTCTTGGTCGTGCGCGTAGTGAGTGAGAGGGACGTAAGTCTTATAAGGTTTTTTACTGGCAATAGGTTTATTATACTTCTAATGGTGTAAAAGTGTCAAATTTTCGGCACAATTATTGCTCTAACGGTTTTTGACCAACTCAAGCTTTTTCTACCGTATCTGTAGTCCCAGCTTAGATATTGAAATGTCTAGCGCTTTAGAAACGGTTATTTATAGTAAGTTACTGAGACTTTCTGCGAACATTAAAACATGTACTATCTTTCATGTTACTATTGTTTACACTTTCAATATCACGTGTCTCTCACTCCTGCCCTTACTTTAAATAGGCAGGTCTTTTAATCATGTGAAAAAGAAATGCATGCGTCGGTGACTTTTGATTTTGAAAACTAGATAACGATGCAAAGGTGGTCGAGTCACCTCTAGGAATGTCTTGCATAAAACCTCAAGTTCTTGTAGGATCAGAAACTAAGGTAGGATCTTTCACAGTACTGTATCGATATAGGTTATCACACTTTCAATCTATCGAATAATAGGAAAGTAGTCATACCAATCTGTTAAAGAGCTTCTAGTATGGACTTTGAGGGATACTGATCAAAACATAATACTTTTTGACATCTTGCGATATATATATATATATATATATATATATATATATATATATAGCCATTCCAAGTGACAAAATACTACATTAAAAGAGTTACTGCTAAGTTTTCTAAGGCTTATGTCAAGCGCTTCTGTAGATGTCAAAACCATTTCTGAAACCCACTTTGTAATCCCTTTAGTATGTAATCATATGGATCAAAGCAAGGCTATACCGGCATAACTTTTTCCTTGAATCCTATTTCTAATCTGTTGTAAGTACCTGTATTTAGTGAAGATAGCTTTTTAGTGTACCAGAATCTTCCACCTTGAAATAAATAAATTTGATTGGTGTCGGAATACACCCATTGCGACATGAATTAGGAAAAATTAGTTTTGCGAAGTTCTCTTTTCTGTGGATTTATTTTTGAAGCTATACAAACGCAAATACATACCTTTTCCGCATATAATAGCAATTACAATCATAGTAATGATAAAGCTCTTGTTAACCATGATAGTAGCGACGCGAATCAGATAATGGCATAAGAAGCTATCTTTATCAAACTTCGTCATGAACATGAATAAATAAATTATAATCGCATCAGTCAGTAAGTTACAACGTAGAGTTTCGTACGTATCTACATCAGCCCAAGTTGCCTTACCGCAGCACAGAGATGCAATTGTCTATTCAAATCCCATAGTGGTAGATGTAGTAGAAGTAATACGGTAATGGAGAAGACTAGGGTTCGAAGATATTATTGAAGAAGTATGATCCAGTGAAATAAACTTAGAAAGTGAAAGGTAATAAGGAATTCAGAAGGTTAGGATTCGAGAGAACACAAAGAATAGATGCACCTGTGCCATTGCGAACGGTTTTGAGTCATGCTATTCAGGGTATCTAACCATCGGTGACTTTCGTCTCGCGGACCCCAACCAGGTAGTCGACACCTACCAACATGACTCAGTCCACTTGTTAGTGGTTTCATGTATTTCTGCTATGTTTTGGTTTGTCCTCCCCTAGCTTTCTTCCAGACTACCCCTACCCTAGACATCATCGCTCGTCGAGATAGCCTGTGGATGGGTGTACGTAACACATGTCCCAACCGCCTCAACTGATGCAGTTTCAATACTTCATCTATTGACCTGCCATCCTTACCTAGAACCCGTTTCGTAACAGCAGCACTGCTTACTCGATAGTCCCATGATACACGAGCAATGCATCGAAGACACCTGTGATCGTAAACCAACAACTTAGGAATATCTTCCACTCTGACTGGCCATGTTTCACAACCGTAAAGTAGGACGGAGCGAACTACTGCGCAGTACACTCGTCCTTTGGTTAGCAAACGGATATCTCGACTACACCATGAGTGACGCAGGTTGACTAAAGCCAATCGAACCTTCTGTATCCGAGCGGGGATTTCGTCACACAACTGGCCATCAGCACTGATGAGATTCCCGAGATAAGTGAAGCGGTCGACACGCTCAACTACTTCACTCCCTATCACTGGTTCGGGTGCCGATACAAGCCAGTCCTGAAGCAACATTTTGCATTTTGAGGGGGAAAACCGCATCCAGAACATGCTTGCATTGTTGCTCAGGGTGGTCAGAAGACTGCATTTTGTCAGCGTCTTCACCGAATAGCACGATGTCTTCGGCATATTCTAGATCAGTAAGCGATCAGAGCTTAATGTTAAGTCTAAGAGGATGTCTACGACAAAGTTAAACAAGAATGGGGACAGTGGACATACTTGACGGACACCATTTGAGGTAAAGAATTCCGTTAACAGTTCTCCATAAGCTCTCACCCGACCAGTGGTGTTCGAGTAGAGAGCTTGTATGAGGTTAATGTACTTCTCTGGTACACCTTTCAATGACAAACACTGCCACAGAACCTCACGATCCACAGAGTCGAATGCTGCCTTAAGGTCCAGGAACACAACTATTGTCGGACTCCTAAATGTATACCTGTGTTCCAGGACCTGTCTTAGTGTGAAGATGTGGTCTATACAACCACGTCCAAGTCGAAAACCAGACTGGTTTTCTCGAGTCTGCTCTTCACGAGCTCTAATTAGACGTCTAAGTACAATGGAGGCTAACAATTTAGAAAGAATATTAGTTAGACTTATTCCCCTGTGATTGTCACAAGAAGACTTTTGTCCTTTCTCATAGATAAGGACAATCAGTGATTGAGACGTCAGATGGGATTACGTCCAGTTCGCAGATTCTACCTAAGATCTCAGTCAACCTAGCTGCTCAGACTGGACCACCATCCTTAAATATCTCAGGGGTCAGTATGTCAGGACCTGCAGCTCGTCCTCGTTTCAGATTTCCTAACGCTTTCTCAACTTCATAATGTCTAGGGGGACTTAAATCGATTTGCCATTCAGGATGACTGGAGATCGTGTGTAACCGAAGAGTGGCTCGAGGCCAGCTCAACTGATCCCTAAAGTGTTCTGCCCATCGGTCCAGTCTCCTGGATTGAGAATAAATAATAGTCCCATCATTTTCCGAGATAGTCTCACTTACACTAGGATTCCTAATACCAGTTTCGTTGATAAGTCGGAAAAATTGTCTAGTGTTGCCGATCGCCGCTGCCTTTTCCATCGCCTTTGCTTTCGCCACTCACCACTGTTCACGGTCGTTGCGCAGGCTTTTTATCAGCCTGCACTTAAGCTGACTTCGTTGTTCATCATGTTCAGAGCCAGGTTGGATGAGTTTTCGGGCATCCATCAGTTCGCAGGATACTACAGAGATCCACGGCTTCATCCTAGCCTCATGGTCAACCTTACTAGCAGATATCACTGCTGTTTCCACAGCTGTTAGTGGGACGTAGATGGAATTAAAGCATGACTACGTCGCTACGCGCTGATTGGCTAATTTCCTATCCAATCAGCGCCCGATCGACGCTTGGAGAACAGGATAGAAAATTCTCGTATTATTAGCTGCATGCTGATTGGTTAAATCGAATCCAGCCGATCACGTGAATTTTCTTCCAGAAGCTTTCTCATGTAAAGGCTATAAATAGACTAGCGTTGTATTTATCTTTGCGTTCTTGCCTTCTTTGCCTTGGCTTCCGCCATCACCTCCGGCTTCTTATTCCTTGCTATTTTGGAATATAATCTTTCCTCTTCAAGCGTGTTTTGATTTGGGTTACTTGTCTAGTGTTTTGTGTCAAGAATACTAAGGAATAAGATTTAGCCGGAAAATATCTTAAGCAAGCGTTACAACAACAGCCTTCTTGATATCATTCCAACCTGCCTGCGGATGGGAATCGCTTAAATGGTCGCCTAACTGTTTTTCTAGTTCTTCCTGAAAATATATTCCGAGCTTCGGAGCGTTGCTCGCATATCGTGGGACACCCGAGTGAGCAACGCTGTCATTAGAAAGCGGGTGCTATGTAAGAATGGCAGATCAATAGATGAGGTGCTGAAACTTCATCAATTGAGGCGGTTGGGACATGTGTTATGTATGGCTAACCACCGACTGCCGCGACGAGCTATTTTTTGTGGTGTAGGAGTGGGTTGGAAGAACGCTAGGGGCGGTCAAACCAGAACATGGCACAAATCCATGAAGTCACTGACAAGTGGACTGAGTCATGTTGGTAGATGTAGGCTATCTGGTTGAGGTCCGCGAGACGATAGCACCGGTGGTTAGGGATCTTGAATGACATGGCTCAAAATCGTTTGCAATCTTGCAGGTGCATCCACTCATTGTGTTCTATGAAATTCTAACCTTCTGAATTCCTCATAATCTCTACCTTTCTCCTTCTAAATTTATCTTACTGAATTATACTTCTCGAATCATATCTTCGCTCCCTAATCTTCTCCATTACTGCTAATACTTCTATTATTGCTATCACTCTTGGATTTGAACTGACAGTTGCGTCTCTGTGTGCTGATGTGGTATGGCAACCTGAAGTGATGTACTGATGTACGAAGTTCTGCGTTGTATCTGTCTGTCTGTCTAATACTAATCGCACAAACGCTACGAAGAACGTTTTTTGGATCAGTGTGGGAATTCACTTCTTCAGTATGTCTACATCTACATCAATTTTGAAATCGATGTTCATGTAGAGTTTTCTTTCCTGCGGTGCATATTTGTGCTTTAGGTTCTTCGTTCTTGTCAGTAAATATCGATGGATACACGTTTTCGGTAAATATTTTCTGAAGGATGTTTAGTTCGTCATCTACGACCTTGAGATTAAAAATTCTCCGTAGTCATCATTAAGTTAACCCGGCTATATTTTGCGAGTTTACAGCTTTAAAATTAAATTCACTGAGGATAGAACTATTCACTAAACGAATTCTAAATTAGTGACAGTCATCTTAATGATTGTAAATGCATTAACTTGTAAGGTATGTGATTTTGTTTTCTAAATGTATGTACAGCTTACTAACTGCTATTAATTTTAGATTTTGTATTATTTTTCAGATGAATCCTCACCGATTTATGTGTAAGGTCTGCAATGTATGGTGTGACACTGAAAATGTTCTACGAATGCACCAAATGGGGAAAAGACATCGCTCTAAATGCCTTGCTCTAGATAGTTTGAACATAGGGGATCACAATAATTATCCTCTAAAAGTTTCCTTACCAACTCTAATGACTCCTGATTCAGGATCACCAAGGGATTCATTTGCAGATACAGGTTTTTGTTCTACGGTGGCTATGAAAAATTCAAACCGTGATCAAGAATCACCTTTTAATATGAATTTCGTTGATTCCAGTTCAGATAGGACAAAGCCAGAACATCCGTCGACTGATTCTGAAGTTTCTTTTACTTGCAGTACATGTGATGTACAATTGAATTCTCCAGATCAATATACTTCTCATATTCGTGGCCGAAAGCATAAAAGTAAATTAAACTCTAGTCCAACCTCTAATCCCTCGTCGAGCCATAAAGTTGTAAGATATAACACAATGTGCTTTTATTTGCTTTCATTTTTCCTATTTCGGATATGATTTCTGGTTCACTGTCATTTAACGGCTTTAAGAGAACCAATTCTATAAGTTAGTCAGTGATAGGATTGAAAAAGTATATCAATTTAATCTTCAACACCCCTAATTAGCACAACCAAGTGGGAAATAAAGAAAATGAAAATCATAGTAGAAGCCATGATACATTCATTAGAAGGCTAGAAATAAAAGATATTTTTTAAAAAGAAGATAAATGAGTGATCAGACTTTTGAGGTAAAGATATGTTCACCTTGATGAATAGTTTGACTACACCTACTGAAACCCATCACCTGTGTTGAGTTACAGGCCGGTAACCCAGATTCTACAACCGATTATGTCCTGGGATCTCCCCTCTAGTTGTTCCCAAGTCCTATTCATTCTTGACTCCGATTTTTGACGCAACGGGTTCTTTGATCTGCCTCTTTCCTTTTGTCTTGGGGGTTCCGTGTAAAGGCTTACCTCGTGACGCAGTTTGGTGATTTCCACAATCTATTACTTATCCACCTCTACCGTTTCTTCAAAACTTCCTCCTCAGCTAAAAGCCGGTTTATATTCTACCATAGTAGATTGTTGCTGACGGTGTCTGGCCAACGGATTTAAAGTATCTTGCATAGACGGCTGTTTATAAATACCCGCATCTTCTGGATGATGGTTTTGATAGTTTTCGAAGTTTCAACTCTATACAAGAGAACTGTTTTAACGTTCGCACTGAAAATTCTGACTTTGCTGTTGCCTAACAATCATTATCAATTCTGGATGTTCCTTAATTGTAGGGATGCTTCCATTGACCTGTCAATCCACATCTTCACATCTACATCAGATCCCTCTTGTTTATCGATGATGCAACCCAGATGTGTAAAAGCTTCTATACCTTCCAGAGCTTCGTCAAGTTTGATTTGCTTGGTTTTCACTGTTTTATCTAAGAATCTTGTACGTTGAAGCCTACTATTGCAGAGGTTGCTGTTACTCTGGCCGACTTGACCTGCATCTGTTGCTGTGTGTGGGATAGAAGATCTTGGTCATCTACGAAGCCCAAATCGTCTAGCTGCACCTGATCTGTCCACTGTAACGTGGGAGTCATGTCAGTCCAGCCAAGTAGAAGACGAAGGAGAAAGGTATGAACGATGATACTTTCCTTGTGAAGATGATTCTTGCGGCCTAATACCTCAGATCATACTGAAGTTACTACTCCTTTAATCCCTTTCCAGTCGTTTTCCATGCTAGTTTCCTCTTCACTGAGTAGATCGTAAAAGGCCTGTAACTTATTGCTGAGAGCTATCTTGAATTGTTTGAGTTTGTCAGTATCTCAAAGAAAAGCTGTATTAAAGTTTTATGCTGTTTGTCCAGTTGTTTAAGGTATTCATCAGGTGGTCATCTGAAGCTATCAGCTCCTCTCGTCGTTCCTACGTCTTACATGGACCTAGTGAAATTTTTATTGATGCAAATATATTGATCCGTCCATATCGATGCAGCTTAGTGTGTGCTTATATGGAGGAACGTTTTAATGTCTATAACCATTTTGTTGAAGGCATATAGATTTACAAATTCATCACCACTTTGCTGTTTACCAGTTCATCTCATCCAATCTTCGCAATTTCGTCTCTCGTCCGGATGGTCAGGTCCTCTTGGGCATTACACTATGATGGACTGCAGCCTCTCATAGAATTGATGTTTACCGTCTTTGTTGCTATTATTGATGGGGGTATACCACTGAATGGCATTCATCGTAATCCCCTCCTTTATCTTGAAGGATGCTTTGATGATCATGGGTTTATGAGATTCCCATCTTTAAGTGTTTTCCGGGCTTCTTTGAATAGCATCTGTGTAACTGCTTGTGTGTGTGTATGTGTCGCATTTTCTTCTTCATGACCGGATTATTACGGAATCTCTTCTGAAGCTAGTCTTTTTGTCTAGCCTGCACCCAACGGGTCTCACTTATTCCAGGCGCTGTCAAGTTGTATTTTTTCATTTCCTTAGCAAATTGAATGGTTTTGCCGGTCTCTCACAGTGTACAGACATTCCGTATACCTATATCAGTGGTTGCTTTGGATCTCTAAAGGAACATCGACCTCGTAACTTCCGAAGAAACTCAGCTTCCACCTTGAGACGTCATAACTCTTTTGAATGAAAACCTAACTCCCAGGTTTGAAGTGTTTGTTCCGGTTAGCATTTTTTTTAGCAGGGTTGTTTCCTACAGGATAGAGTTCTAGGGAGGATAAATGTCTGCAACATATATCCTCCAGTCAGTTTAACACAATCTTACCGTCACTCATTAATTCATTGTCATGGCCGTTTGTTATTGCTGGACCCTCAGTACTGTGATCAGGTTATAAATAAGCAACAGACAACCAAAAAATAGCATCAAAGCTTGTTTTTCTGTACAGGGTATTTTTCTGAACTGACTTTTTAGGCAATATTTTCAAAATCATAGTGTACTGGTTTTATAATTCACACATATTATGAGTGCTCATAATACTATCTGGCCTTCCGAATCTTAGTAGGTGAAGAAAAGTTTAGAATTTCAATCCACTAATCAAAAGTTGAGTCCCTAAAGCGTTGAGGTGTAGCTTTGTTCTCTGGTTGAAATGCTTACTTATGTTTCTAGTCGGCGTGTTTACTCTCTATCTTATATGTTTTACTATTGATTCTGTGTTTGTTCGTATATCTAGACACAATCCAGTGAAGGAAGCTCAACATCTGTATTTTATTATTGCAATACCTGCCAGTTTGTAATATTCAATTCAATGAAACTGAAACATTTAGAATCAGAAGAGCATCAATTGAATGTTCGCAAGTTAGAAAAAAGGTCACTATCATTAGGTCTACGTGTAGAGAATTCCTCACACTTACGTAAGTATGAACGATCCTGTCGGAAAGTATTGGTGCCTGTATATGAGTCAATTAAATTCACACCTGCTGAAGTGAGTTATTTGGTTAATGTGCTGTAGTATGCTGCTATACTATACTAATATTAAATTCAAAGAAAATCTCATTGAAACCTTCATGTTGCAATTTTAGAATGTATTGAGCAATATTATCCGTGTAGTATATGCAACCGTTGAGTTGTTAATCAATGATTGGTTCGAGCGCACGGTACTAGGTGGAGATTATAAATTGGTTGATCATTTAGTGAATCTTTGTAGAATAAAACGATGAAATATCCGTTAGTCTTCTGTAGTTACCACCTCTGACATGCAGTACTAATTAGTGTGGCATACAAACCAACGGAATCATTTCAATCAATCCTATGTAGACCAAAGGACAAAATGACAAAGGAAGAAAAACCAAATATCATCTACAAAATAAATTGCACAGACTCTGAAAAACACTATATATGACAAAGTGGACGGCCTCTTCAGCCTCGTTTACGTGAACACCAATTAGCAGTCAAACAAACGACAACTCTTCGCTGATATCAGTACACACTGACAATTAGGGACATACATTCTATCGGAACAAGTGGAAATACTGGATAGGGGGGGGGACAAAGAACACTAGAGAATTTTTAGAAGCTTGGCACTCAGGTCAATCAGCAACACATCGACTTGACTCAATTTACCAACCAATCAGAAAAATCATAGGTGACATAGGATCAAGAAACAGATCAAAGGGGGATACGATCAAAACAAAGGTGCAAACAACGACAGGTTTAAGGCCAACAGAAACCAATCAAGATTGAGGTTAGTAGAATAAAGCTACAGGTCAAATATGGAGAAATCCGAATATATCACTTCCATCTGAAGCTTGTGCTGATGGTGTTGTTCAGAAGGACAGTGAAAGCTTCACAACCAAAACATCCAGCTCAGAGAACGAAACTCTACCACACGCTTTTCACTAACAAATATTGCAGTAATACTTCTGGATCAGCCAGTGTCGAACGCTGCCTTAAGACAAAAAAACCATAGTTTAGCTTTGGTAAGTTTGCATATGTTCTAGAATCTAGCAAAGAGAATATTTGGTCGATAAATCCACGTCTTGGTCTGGAACCAACTTGATTTCCCTATATTCGCGCTTCACTAGCCCAAGCTAAACGTTGAACAATTATAGATGTTAGTATTAGACATTATATTAGCCACACGGATTCTTCTGGTGAGCACATGAGGATTTCGGTTCTTGTTAATGAACAGAAACTATTAGCGATTGTTACCAGTTAGATGGGATTATGTCCAGCTCTCAAATTTCACCTAGTCTAGCAGCTAAAACGAAAATACTACCCTTAAAGATTTCCGGCGTTAATCTATCCGGGTCCCTTGCTCTGTCTCCTTTTAGATTACCTAAAACGTTTCTAACCTCATTAAGATTTGGGGAACTTTTTGTCAACTAATCATTTCGATTAATTGAGGGTAAAGGTGGGGGTCAGTTAAACTGTTACCTAAAATGTTTCGTGCATCGATCTGAACTTTTAAACTATGGGTGCATGATAACTCCGATTTTACGGAAACAACCTCACTAACAGCTGCCTTTTTAATACTTCCTTGATAAGTCGGTCGAGTTGTTTATGATTAACTATTGCCACTATTCCATCTCTTGCATTCGTTGCTCATTACTGTTCACTATCATTGATAAAACATTTTCCAAGTTTATGTTTCAGTCGTCGATCTTCATCGTTCTTTCAGGATGAGTTTTCGAATCTCTGTCAATTCATTAATTGCCACCGAAAAACACGGATCTTTCCTACCCTTGAGGTTTTAGGTATTGTTAGGTGTCACTGTAGTGTGTGCAGCTACTTGGATAACATTCAACCTAGGTAATACAAGAATGCAACCATGAATCAAATCAACTCATCAAAAAAATCATAGAGCGTCCACCTACATGCTGTCGCCACAAATATGTGCGCATATTTATTGTAGGTAAAAAATATTTCATGGTTTCGATCACAGCTACAACCTTGATGTGGAGGTCAGGTTTGCCTGTCGAGATGACTCAGCCGAGCTATATTGGCTGAAAGATACGTTCCATAAGGTCCTGCAATCTCAGACAGGCTAATTGGACTAACAGCAGCAACTTAGAGTTTCAGGGCCGAGTCGTTCTGCCGACTATAAAAGGGTGTGACAGATGTAGGGTGTTTCACTCGGAAAGTCAGCATCTGCTGCAATGCTGCATTCTCACAACGAAAAGAATGGGGTTAGAAAAGATCAACCCTAAAAATGTCACACATTTTAAATAGCGAAACTAACAAGTTAACGCTCTATAAAACTTCTGTGCGTGACTGGCCTCAAGCAATGGTCCTTTGGATTCTGTGGTCACACTATCAGGTCAATTAGATCAGCGCTAATACAATTTCCTTGTCCGATTCCTCAACCAAAACCCACGGCGTGGGCAGGCGGTAAACAACATCCGCGTTGTATTCCCTGCGACGCATACGAGAGTAAATTGATCACAAACAATTCATTTCTACACTTCCTAATAATTCTCTTATCTCCACGACTAACCCTTTCCTGTTAGTGCCAGTTTATAATAAAGCACAAAAGTCCTCTTGTGATAATCACGGAAGAATCAGTCTAACTAATATAGATTCTAAATTGTTAGCCTCGATTATACTTGGACACCAAACCAGAGCTCGTGAAGAGCAAACACCAGAAAACAAGACTAGTTTCAGACCTGGATGTGGCTGTATAGACCACATATTCACACTTCGTCAGGTCCTAGAACATAGACACATATCTTCGAGACATTGCTCGTACATCCTGGGACCACCGAGTAAGCAGTTTTGGGGTTAGGAATCTTGCTATGAACTCTACTATTCTAGGATTCCCCGAATAGCAGCTTGAATTGATGTACACAGTTACTAGGTTCTATGTCGCAACCATCCTCAAGTTTCTAGACATTTTAATATCTGGTGGATCTCTAATGAATAGAATAGTAACCGATAATGCTAGAGTGTATCTCGCATATCAAATCAAATCATAATAATGTTAACTTTAATTGAAGATCACTCAGGCGAATAAAGCACAAATCCATAAACGTTTTGTGTACTTGAGGATTGAATACAGATCTTGCCTTATCTGACTGTCTCGATATATACATTAATTGAAGAAAAAATATACAGAAATATTTAAAAATCCATTTCATAGTTTATAGAAACTGTTATATTGGGAGACGACCGATTACTAAGATGAAATCATGTTGATATTCATCACCATTCTCCAAATTCCACTTTGCTCATCTAACTTTTCCACATGAAAGTGATTTATCAATGAACGAAAAATGTCATTGCAATTTTAATCAACTACTAACGTTTTAGGACTCCAAATTTTGTTTCCACTTCATGGAAACACTGTATGGCATATTGTCTATCATCATCAGTGGATAATTACTACACTTTTCATATTAAATTCTACAGGCTCAGCTATTGGAGGATTCTGCAAAAGGTGATCAAGATTGTATTTTGTTGTTGGATTCATTTGACGGTCGAGATCGTATTGCAATACACCTGGCAAACACCTTATTGATAGCTCAATAGATAACTGAAAACTACTAGCTGTATTAGTTTTCAGTTATCTATTGAGCTATCAATAAGGTGTTTGCCAGGTGTATTGCAATACGATCTCGACCGTCAAATGAATCCAACAACAAAATACAATCTTGATCACCTTTTGCAGAATCCTCCAATAGCTGAGCCTGTAGAATTTAATATGAAAAGTGTAGTAATTATCCACTGATGATGATAGACAATATGCCATACAGTGTTTCCATGAAGTGGAAACAAAATTTGGAGTCCTAAAACGTTAGTAGTTGATTAAAATTGCAATGACATTTTTCGTTCATTGATAAATCACTTTCATGTGGAAAAGTTAGATGAGCAAAGTGGAATTTGGAGAATGGTGATGAATATCAACATGATTTCATCTTAGTAATCGGTCGTCTCCCAATATAACAGTTTCTATAAACTATGAAATGGATTTTTAAATATTTCTGTATATTTTTTCTTCAATTAATGTATATATCGAGACAGTCAGATAAGGCAAGATCTGTATTCAATCCTCAAGTACACAAAACGTTTATGGATTTGTGCTTTATTCGCCTGAGTGATCTTCAATTAAAGTTAACATTATTATGATTTGATTTGATATGCGAGATACACTCTAGCATTATCGGTTACTATTCTATTCATTAGAGATCCACCAGATATTAAAATGTCTAGAAACTTGTGGATGGTTGCTCATCGGTCACTTTTCTCATAGACTAATGCCACGTCTCGATCTGACTACCGATAGGTTCCATCCAACTATTTGTATTTCAGCCAAGCATCACCTAACGAGGTTGCAGGTGGTTACATATGCCTCAACCGCCTCGGTCGATAAAATTTAACTGTCATCAACCAATTTACCTATTTTATGTAGTTTACTTTACCTTATGACAGTGTTTCTATAGATTTTTGACCAGGTACTTGTTTTTAAATTTACTTCATTGAAATTCATCCAACGATTTACTTAGCTTGACTGTAGCTATTGAATCAGTCAGTTGCAACATAGAACCTGGTAACTGTGTACATCAATTCAAGCTGCTATTCGGGGAATCCTAGAATAGTAGAGTTCATAGCAAGATTCCTAACCCCAAAACTGCTTACTCGGTGGTCCCAGGATGTACGAGCAATGTCTCGAAGATATGTGTCTATGTTCTAGGACCTGACGAAGTGTGAATATGTGTTCTATACAGCCACATCCAGGTCTGAAACTAGTCTAGTTTTCTGGTGTTTGCTCTTCACGAGCTCTGGTTTGGCGTCCAAGTATAATCGAGGCTAACAATTTAGAATCTATATTAGTTAGACTGATTCTTCTGTGATTATCACAAGAGGACTTTTGTCCTTTCTTATAGACTGGATTTCGTCCAGTTCTCAAATTCTATCACTTTTCAATGTCAATAAGATTCGGAGGACTTACTTCAATTTGCCACTCAGGATGACTGGAGATCGTGGGTAACCGAAGTGTGGCTGAAGGCCAGTTGAATTGATCCCTAAAGTGTTTTCGCCATCGATCCAATCTCCTAAATTAAGAATGAATGATCGTCCTCTCCTTTTCCGAGAAAGTCTCACTTACAGTTGGATTTATAATACCGATTCCTTTGATAAGTGTGAATAGTTGTCAACCGTTACCTATCATTGCTGCCTTTTCGATCTCTCTTGCTCTCGTTACCCACTACTGTTCGTGATCATTGCGTAGGCTTTTTGTCAGTCTGTGCTTATGCCCACACCACTCTTCGTCATGTTAAGAGCCAGATGGGATGTGTTTCTGGGTAGTTATCAGTTAGTAGTCTGCTTATTTGAGTTCCATTAGTGAATAGAATGTTTAGAATCTTGAGGAAGGTCGTTAGCCCTTGTATTATCCTCGTGGTATGTATTTTATTTTAATCACAATTCTTCTAGCTGGCGATTAGTGTCAAAGAATAATTAGGTTGATATTTTAATTGTGACATCAAAGAGAAATCAGAAGATTGATTGACTTTGGAACCCGTTCGGTATCTCATAGTTCACTTGTTACGATGTCCGTCGTTATTATTCAAATATAACATTCTCCGTACGGCGCCGTATGTATAATGATAATTCTGGTGCATATCACCTGTTGAAAGAGGGATTAGCTAGTCAACTTGTTCACCTGAAACAAATCAGTCATTCAGGCCGTGTTAGGATGAGCGCTATGTGCGGCAGTATTTGTGCACTTTGTGATGAGTAAGTTTGTACTCAATTACAGCACACCATATATCAACCTTGTCCATCTTTAATACTTGCTGTTTATGTTTTCCGATTAGTTGATGAATAAGTATAGTTTTGTGAGCATGACAAAACTAATTTCACAGATTAACATGTTTGCTCAATAATTCTAAAATTTTTGTATGCTTTTGCTGAGTGATGTTTAACCTTCCTGAATGATTAAAAATTTTTTAAAATATAATTATTATTAAGCTCTAAGTAAATAATGATCAAAATTATGTAGATTCAGCAGAGTTATTCGGTTATGCGCTTATCGTTTATGTGCTTATCCCTTCACTGACTGCAGCTCAGATGGATTAAGAGATATGTTTATGGGGAACTTTCTGACTATGTTTAGGAATCCAGAAAGTGAGACGTGGTGTAGTCGTAACGGGTGATTCTAACGTCCAATTAGGTAAGAAGATAAATCAAGTGGAAAGGCGTGGATCTTTCGGGATCATATCTTGGAGAACAGCTAATAGCAGTTGCTATCTTCTGCAAATGTGCCTAAACGACTGACTACTTATCCTTAGCAACTATTAACTTTAAAAACACTAGGCAAGACAATGTCTAACCTGGCAACTCCATATTCCCTCCAGTTACTTCTTATTTCCAAGCAACCAGAATAGGGAGTTAGTTGATTTGTCCTCTAGCTTTTAGCCAGACTGAGAATTTCATATCTTCTTGTATGGAGAAATGAGGAACAACAACAATATCTGATGGAGTCCGATGATAGATTTTAAGTGGTTTTTGGCTTAGGCACTTAATTTGACTATGATATTGTTTAGAGTTCGGTAACTAATTTAGATTTCATTGTGTTTCTTATGCGATCAAAACATTTAATTGCATATTGTCTATCATCATCAGTGGATAATTACTACACTTTTCATATTAAATTCTACAGGCTCAGCTATTGGAGGATTCTGCAAAAGGTGATCAAGATTGTATTTTGTTGTTGGATTCATTTGACGGTCGAGATCGTATTGCAATACACCTGGCAAACGCCTTATTAATAGCTAATTGTAATCTATTAACTACTGACTCATCAAACTCCTCCATTCCTACCTGGGTAGTATGGGTTCTTCCTAAAAGAGAAAATTCCCCAAGAAATTCTGTTTCCGTTTTCGGATCTGAGTAAGTGTGTTTCTAAAAATGAATCTTAGTATGAATGACATCATAATATGCTTTAAGGAAGGCTTATTTTTGAGAAAAATAGTTATCCACAGTTATAAAAGCAAGGCTTTCAATCGTAATAAAATGTGAAATGTTTTCTACCTGCATTAAATATCTACAAATTATTGTGTTGTTCTGATGGTGAAAGTACTTTACCGACTTACACCTATCATCCCTAATGGAGCATAGGTCACCGACCAATGTTTTCCAACTCACTTTCTCCCGGAATTCCTTTCCCAGTTCTGTCCAATTTTTGTTCATTCTTTTTAGTCAGTCAGTCAGTCAGTTGCAACGTAGAACTTCGTACGTAAGTACATCAGTTCATGTCGCCATACCACATCAGCACAGAGATATAATTGTCAATTCAAATCCAATAGTAGAAGAGGTAGTAAAGGTATTAGAAGTAATCGGAGAGGTTAGAATTAGAAGATATTATTCACGAAGTATGATTCAATGAGATAAGTTTAGAAAGTAAAAACTAGAGGTGTTGAAGAACCCAGAAGATTAGGATTTGAGAGAACACAGAGAATAAATGCACCGGCGCCATTGCGAACGATTTTGAGCCATGTCATTCAAGGTCTCTAGCCATCGATTATTATCATCTCGCGGACCCCAACCAGGTAGGTAGTCGACAATTACCGACATGGCTCAGTCCACTAGTCAATGACTTCATGGATTTATGCCAGGTTTTGATCTGGCCGCCCCTAACTTTCTTCCAACCTATTCCTACACTAAAAAACAGAGCTCGACGAGGCAGTCGGTGGTTAGGCATACGCAACACGTGTCCCAACCACCTGAACTGATGAAGTTTCACCACTTCATCTATTGATCTGCCATCCTTACCTAGTACCCGTTTCCTAATAACAGCGTTGCTCACTCGGGTGTCCCACGATATACGAGCAATGCTTCGAAGACACCTATGATCGAAAACCAATAACCGACGATTATCTTCTACTCTCACTGGCCATGTTTCACAGCCATAAAGTAAGACGGAGCGAACCACTGCGCAGTTCACTCGTCCTTTAGTCAGCAAACGGATATCTTGCCTACGCCATAAGTGACGCAGGTTGGCAAAAGCCAATCGAGCCTTCTGTATCCGTGCCGAGATTTCGTCAGTCACCAGGCCATCAGCACCGATGAGACTCCCGATATAAATGAAGCGGTCTACACGCTCGACTACTTCACTCCCTATCACTGGTTCAGATGCCGATGCAACCCAATCTCGGAGCAACATTTTGCATTTCGAGGGGGAAAACCGCATCCGGAACACGCTTGCATTGTTGCTTAGGGTAGTCAGAAGACTCTGCATTTTGTCAGCGTCCTCACCAAGTAAGACTATGTCATCGGCATATTCTAAGTCAATAAGCGAGCCTCCTGGTAGAAGGTCTACTCCCGAAAATTCAGACGAGGATAAGGTTATTTCTAAGAGCATGTCTATGATAAAATTAAACAAGAATGGAGAGAGTGGACATCCCTCCTGACGGACACCACTTGAGGTAAAGAATTCCGTTGACAGTTCACCATAAGCTGTCACTCGACCAGTGGTGTTCGAGTAGAGAGCTTGTATGAGGTTAATGTACCTCTCTGGTACACCTTTCAATGACAGACACTGCCACCGAACCTCGCAACCCACAGAGTCCAGGAACACAACTATTGTCGGACTCCTAAATGTATACCTGTGTTCCAGGACCTGTCTTAGTGTGAAGATGTGGTCTATACAACCACGTCCAGGTCGAAAACCAGACTGGTTTTCTCGAGTCTGCTCTTCACGAGCTCTAATTAGACGTCTAAGTATAATGGAGGCTAACAATTTAGAAACTATATTGGTTAGACTGATTCCCCTGTGTTTGTCACAAGAAGACTTTTGTCCTTTCTTATAAATTTGGACAATCAGTGATTGAGACCAGTCAGATGGGATTACGTCCAGTCCCCAGATTCTGCGTGAGATCTCAGTCAACCTAGCTGCTAAGACTGGGCCACCGTCCTGAAATATCTCAGGGGTCAGTCTATCAGGACCTGCAGCTCGTCCTCGCTTCAGATTTCCTAACGCTTTTTCAACTTCATAATGCCAAGGGGGACTTAAATCGATTTGCCATTCAGGATGACTGGAGATCGTGTGTAACTGAAGAGTGGCTCAAGGCCAGTTGAACTGATCCCTAAAGTGTTCTGCCCATCGATCCAGTCTCCTGGATTGAGAATAAATAATAGTCCCATCATTTTTCGAGACAGTCTCTCTTACACTAGGATTCCTAATACCAGTTCCTTTAATAAGGCGGAAAAGTTGTCTAGTGTTGCCGATCGCCGCTGCCTTTCCCATCGCTTTTGCTTTCGCCACTCACCACTGTTCACGGTCGTTGCGCGGGCTTTTTATCAGCCTGCACTTAAGCTGACTTCGTTGTTCATCACGTTCAGAGTCAGGTTGGATGTGTTTTTGGGCACCCATCAATTCGGAGGATACTACAGAGATCCACGGCTTCATCCTAGCCTCATGGTCAACCTTACTAGCAGATATCACTGCTGTTTCCACAGCCTTCTTGATATCATTCCAACCTGCTTTTAAATGGGAATCGCTTGCATGGTTTTTTAACTCTATAGTTGCTCCTGAAATATTTTCTTAGTTTGATTATCATTAAGTAAAAAGCTAAGAGGCTTCCTTACGGTGTCTTTCCTACGCCCAGTAAGCCTCAAACAAATACGAGCTCGCACTAGGGCATGATCTGAATCTAAACATGTGCTCCAGAACGAGCGACAGTTCTCTGCCGAACCTCTCGATCAGTGGCTGATGGCGGTGCTATCTAGTTGGGACCATCGTTGAGACGACTTCAGGGGTCGCCAGGTCAAAAGGTGCTTTTCCTTATGCCTAAATTTAGTGCTTACTAGAAATAGGCGGTTATCTGAGCATACTTGCAACAGTCGGTCACGATTGTTTGTTCTCTGAGCCGCGCGACACCATAACATCCACCTAGGTGTCTCTCCTGCTCACTTAGTCTACCTACCTGAGCATTAAAGTCACCAGCCATTATTACTATATCAGAGCGCCTAGCTTTTTGGAGGAGGTCCGAGAGCTTTCTGTAAAACTCATCTTTTACCTCGTCTGAACTGCAGTCAGTGTGGGCATAGGCAGATACGATGAACTGGCAACGGCGATTGCCCCTATCTTTCCGAGTCCTTACTGTCCCGTTCAGTCGGACAGTGCACAAACCACTATCTACAGGGATCTAGTCTAGGAGCGCTAGTTCTGCCCTACGACTCAATGCTATACCTATGCCAGCGAGACCGCTGGACGCAGCATCAGGGCTTCCAGATACATGAAGAGTAAATCGAGCTGCTTCTTTATTTTGACAAGGTGAAATCAGAATAATAATTTACTAGGATCTTGTATGCGCGTTTCCGAGACGCAGCATACATCGATGGCACGAGATTCTAATGTCCTAGCTAATGATGCCTGTTGCCCTATTTGACATAATGTCCGTACATTAAAAGCTCCAACATGTAGTCTAAAGCGGGATTTCAAGAGACCAGAAATGATGTTTCGTGAACTCGCTTCGTTTGCATCTCAGCGGTGCAGTGAGATAAGGGAGTTTGAGAAGAGTCAGTTGTGGAGATAAGAGAGGTATGTGTGGGTGTAGGAAGGATTTGTTTTTGACCGATTTGGTCTTGTATGCAGTTACGGGTATGAGGGCGGTTGTCACTTTCCGGCTGCCCACACCATGGAAGGTTGTTTCTTGAGGAACCTGAGAAGGAAGGTATGTTAGCGTTGGTCTTAGAGACCTGGGAGCGTGACCGCAGAGTCCAAGGGACAACTGTTTGAGGCCGATCTCACACGGCATTTTTATGAGAAGTTTTTAAAGTGTTAGCTCCCCTCTTGAAAGCCTTTAGTGGGCAACCTTACCGCCGAAAAAGGAAATCCGTGAGGTAGGGTGAGGTGTGACATTTTTAGGGTCGACCTTTTCTAACTCTTCCTTCCTTGTGAGAAGGCAGCATCGCTGCAGATACTGGTTGTCCGAGGGAAACACCTTACTGCTGTCACACCCCTCTGCAGTCAGCAGTACGACTTCGCCCTCAGACCTTGGGTAGCTGTTTTTAGTCTCATCGTTCTCCAATCGACCTGCCTGGCATGGCAGGACCTGCAGGAACATATGTTCCAGCCAATACAGCTCGGTTGGGTCATCACAATAGTGAAGCCCGACCCCCACGTCAAGGTAGCAGCTACGGTCGGGGTTGACGTCTTTAGAAGTAGCTTAAATAGCTCATTAGACTTTGAGTGTTGTTAGTTTCAAAATTAAATAACATTATTACAGGAATCTAAGGCTCACTATGCATTAGGACTACGAAAGATGAACTGTATGAAAAATGTATTGAAATACTGTAGTTGTTATAAGAATGACAAGTAAGACTGAATGTTGAAAATATAATTCGAAAAGACAAACTGGAGACAGATATAAATGAAAGAATATTATTATAATTCTAGATCAAAAGTAAGATAACGAACGAGTGAATAATACATCTTTACCACCATTGTATAAACTATGATGAACCATATCACGCAAAATCTTTGGCCACTTCAATATTGTCCATATTTGTTTTTTTAAATTACTAATCTTTAATTCTCTCACTTGACTATAGGATAATAGCAATCATAAATTTTTAATTCATCAATCAATTTAGAATAAACAAAGAGATATTTTTTTCTCCATTTCAATTATATTTATATATTTCACGTACACATATTACACAGTTGATGACTATCACCATTAATTAAACAAATCTATATATTTTTGTTTTATATATATTCCTAACCTTTTATTATTTATTGTAATTTCATCAAGTTTTTATTTATTTATTAATATTTTAGATTAAATAATAAAAGTGATAATCCATCTCAACGTCCATTAAAAATTGCATACCTACCTTGTGATTTAAGAATATTATCACAAGTTGATTTGATACTTACAACCTCTGGTAGGATTTTCTTGAAAACTCTATTGTTACTTTTTATTAATATGGTATTATATAATAATAATAATAATAATAGTCGATACAATGAACAACAGTTTTAGATTTATGTAATTAATTTTGACGCATACATTTTTTTGTATAAACACTAAGTGTTCAGTGGTTGCTGCTTTAGATTCGATGTTGGGCTTACTACTAATTTATTTAGTGGCTACGTTGAACTCGAAGTAAAAAATCACCACTAGTAGTAGTGATCTACAATGACTCCGGTATTTAAGGAATGATTGATTATCATCAGGTGAAGTAAATCTTTTCCTCAGTTTAGGCGAACCTCACTTGTGCGATAGCAATAATAAGAAGCCAAATACGTATTCGGTTGGATGAGTTTATTTAAAGTTATCGTTCATGTAGACAGGCAGGAGAATATTTAGCTTGAAAGCAGGCGAAACGAAGTAGGAAATGCCGACGAGCCAGCCCCATGTAATAATGAGTCATGACTAGGCATTTATAGTCAGAAAAATAAGCTAGACATGTGACTGGCTAAATGTGCCTACACATACTCAAACAAAAACAACTAAGATATGAGCGAATGATTGACGAGGTGGAATGATGAGTGAATTGACTCAGGCAAAAAAGGTTGGTTAGTTTGTCGAAAAGCTGAGACAAGCCGTATGGGCTCAACATATTTACTACACGCACTACACTAGCTAGGTATTCTGTTTAGCTGTTTTCTTGATCAAAAAGGCAACCGATGCAACATTTAGGGTATTTTTACTTCTACACATGAATCATCACCGTTACTCAATGGATTTAACCTGACTATATTATACAGAGTCAGTCATTTATTTGTAAGGAAGAACTTGATTATAATATACGGAATTAAACAGGAAATTCGTATTTCATAGAACCGCGGTATGTTGCTACCACACAGTGTAAAATTGGAACAATCAACCCCCAATAGTCGTAGTCTACACTGTGAAATTAATTATTGTCTAATTGTAAAAAATAAGATTTCAACATTATCAAGTTATTGTATACACATTCTAAAGAATTAAATTAAGGCAAATGATTTTTTTTTCTCTCTCTCTCTCTCTCTACTTATCACTAATTTTTAAGACATATATATTGTTTGTCAATAATGAATGATACAGGGGTGGTGTGTAAAACAAATTTTAAGTTGTTATTCATAGAGTATATTCAAGTTTCATATTAAACGCGCTGTACTACTAAATGTTTTTTTCTTTTTTTTTTTTTGGAAAAACTGAAGTCGTTATGTAACGTAACATTTACGAATTAGAGATTTTCATATTTATCATCTGTGTTATTGATTAATAATAGTAAAGCAGATAAAATGAGAAAAGAATTTTTCACTTAAACTATCCGATTAGTCATCGTTTTTACACACTACCACACTACTCGATAGTTATAAACTAACCATTTCTTTCTTCATGTTTAGAAACTTATAGGTATGACAATAAATTAGCCTACAACGATTAATTAATAAAGCAACAATTGTACACTAAATATTTCAAGTTTTATTTATCCCTAGTGATGATATCTTGGCTAACTATTTTGTACAAAATGTAATACATCGTACTGTTTGAATAGAAAAATAAGAAGACATATTTTATGAGATACTACCATTTCGTGCTTGCTCGTCAGTTTCTGCCCCATACAATATAAACGTTCTGTTGTAAAAACTTTATTCGCTCGAGCAAGTAGAATCTGCACTGCTGATACATTGAACGACGAATTCAAGCTTATTACTGAGACACTTAAATCAAACGGATATCCCGAAACGTTTATTGGTCATCAGAACACAACTACGATGAAGCTGATCGCAACTGATGTGCCCAAGAAACTAGTGTACCTACAGTTACCTTTCAAGGGTGATCATTGCATGAAAATTACAACCAAACAGACTGCAGCTGCAATAAAAAAGACCTTCAATGCAGCTAATCTGAGACTTATCACAACAACTCAATCGATCTCAGTTACCCCAATCAAGTCTCCAAGACCGATTCAGTCCAAATCCCACTGTATTTATCAATTCACATGTAACTGCGGAGAAAGTTACTTAGGGAGGACAGATCGCCGATTGGAAGACAGGATAGGGGAACATATCCCAAAATGGTTAATCAAATCCATGTTTCATCAACCTAGCCCATCGTCTCAAAATCGATCAAGAAACCCAGCCTCGTCCATTGTAAAACATCTAATGATGAGTGGTCATCAAGTTGACCCAAAATCAGCCTTTAGAGTTGTGACATGTCATCAAAACCCACACACATTGAAACTACTCGAAGCTATCTTGATTGGTCGGAAAAGTCCAACTTTGTGTGTTCAAAAACAACTGTATGTTGACCTTTGTTAACCATGGTTCTTCCGGTGAGTGAATGTCATGCTAAATAAGAAATTTTGACCTTATCTTCAAAACTGTATTTATACAAATAACATGTTGCTTGTATGTGACTGACGAGAAAGCACGAAATGGTACTATCTCACAAAATATGTCTTCTCATTTCTCTATTCAAATTTATCAAAGGTAATCACTGTTTTGAACATCGTACTGTGTTGTTAAACAAACGGAATAATCATTGTGAAAAAAGGCAATAGATTATTCAGTTTATAATTGTGTGTAAACACCTTCAGATGAGTTTGAAAATAGATTTAAAAAATATCGTTCATCATATCTTTTACTATCTATATGAAATGAATGATATTTTCGCCGGAATGATAACAAGCCCGTCATGTGAAATTAAAAGACAGACAGGTCACATTCATTAAAAAAAAGGCACTAGTAATTTATATACATATCAATACCAAAGATCACATTTTGTTAAGAAGTTGACTGAGATCGATTTCCGATTCGTTGAATAAATAATAATAGACATTCTTAACCTTTGTAACACAAAATAAATAATCGGATGCATTTTTTTTTAACTAAACTACATATATATATATATATATATATATATATATATATATATATATATATATATATATATATAAACTATCTCATTAGTAAATAATATATATAAATTGTATTATTATTTCACTTTTAATATTTCAATACAGATTTATTTGTTGAACATTTATCAAGTTTATTAATGCAACAAAAGTTTATTTGTGCCATAATTATTCATGATGTCAATGTGGCAGTAAAAGATGAAAAGTTTTGCAAACTTCTCTCACATTATCGTCAATATTTCAGAAATCAAACTAATCGAGCACGAGTAAGTTGTTTGTCAACAATAAAATACTACTTTACTAACTAGCCTTACTTTTCATTATTCATATTTATTTATTTCTTTGCCTTGCAAAAATTTTTAATGTGAATAAACTGAATATCAATAATATCAATAAAAAATTTCACTGTTTCCAATAGAGAAATCTACGTTGCATTTTCGGCAAGAAAACAAAGTTACTAACATGCAAATCATATATTTACTTGACTAAACAAATGATACAGTTGTTATTGCATTCTATAGCAAAAAAAAATACTGAGGATTAATTTACTTTATATTATAATAACAGACAATGGCGCCCGTCTGTTGCAACTATGCTCAGATAACCGCCTATTCTTAGCGAACACTAACTTTAGGCATAAGGAAAAGCATCTGTTGTCCTGGCGACCCCCGAAGTCGTCTCAACGATGGACTCAATTAGATCACATCGCCATCAGCCACCGATGGAGGGGTTCGATAGAGGACTGTCGCTCGTTCTGGGGCACATGTCTAGATTCAGATTATGCCCCAGTGCAAGCTGTTATTTGTTTGAAGCTTAATGGACGTAAGAAAGACACCGTAAGAAAGCCTCTTAGGTTTTTACTTAATGATAATCAAACTAAGAAAATATTTCAGGAGCAACTAGAAAGAGAGTTAAGAAACCATGTAAGCGATTCCCATTTAAAAGCAGGTTGGTATGATATCAAGAAGGCTGTAGAAACACCAGTGATAACTGCTAGTAAGGTTAATAATAAGGCTGGGATCAAGCCATGGATCTCAATAACATCTACCGAACGGATGGATGCTCGAAAACTCATCCCACCTGGCTCTGAAGGCGACGAGGAGCGGAGTCAGCTTAGACGTAGGCTGACAAAAAGCTTACGCAATGATCGAGAACAGTAGTGGGTGGAGAAAATGAGAGAAATGGAAAAGGCAGTGGCGATCGGCAACAGTAGATTTATCAAGCAAACTGGTATTAGGAATCCTAGTGTAAGTGAGACTATCTCGGAAAATGATGGGACTATTATTTATTCTCAATCCAGGAGACTGGATCGATGGGCAGAACACTTTAGGGATCAGTTCAACTGGCCTCGAGCCACTCTTCGGTTACACACGATCTCCAGTCATCCTGAATGGCAAATCGATTTAAGTCCCCCTAGACATTATGAAGTTGAGAAAGCGTTAGGAAATCTGAAGCGAGGACGAGCTGCAGGTCCTGATAGGCTGACCCCTGAGATATTTAAGGATGGTGGTCCAGTGTTAGCAGCTAGGTTGACCGCTTCACTTATCTTGGGAGTCTCATCAGTGCCGATGGCCTGGTGACTGACCAAATCTCAGCTCGGATACAGAAGGCTCGATTGGCTTTTGCCAACCTGCGTCACTTATGGCGTAGGCGTGATATCCGTTCTCTAATCAAAGGACGAGTGTACTGTGCAGCAGTTCGTTCCGTTCTCCTATATGGCGGTGAAACATGGCCAATGAGGGTAGAAGATATTCGTAGGTTACTGGTTTTCGATCATAGGTGTCTTCGAAGCATTGCTCGTATACCGTGGGACAACCGAGTGAGCAATGCTGTCGTTAGGAAACGAGTACTAGGCAAGGATGGCAGATCAATAGATGAAGTAATGAAACTTCATCAGTTGAGGTGGTTGGGACATGTGCTGCGTGTTGCTTAACCACCGACTGCCTCGACGAGCCTTGTTTTGTAGTGTAAGAGTAGGTTGGAAGAAAGTTAGGGGCAGCCAGACCAAAACATGGCACAAATCCATGAAGTCATTGACAAGTGGACTGAGTCATGTTGGTAGTTGTCGACTGCCTGGTTGGGGTCCACGAGATGATAATAATCGATGGTTTGAGACCTTGAATGACATGGCTCAAAACCGTTTGTAATGGCCTCGGTGCATTTATTCTTTGTGTTCTCTCAAATCCTAGTCTGGATTCTTCAACACTCCCAGTTTCGTCTTTCTAAACTTTTCTCATCTAATCATACTTCTTGAATAATATCTTCTAATTTTAACCTCTCCGATTACTTATAATACCTTTACTACCTCTACTACTAAATTGGATTTGAATTGACAATTATATCTCTGTGCTCATGTTGTGGTATGGCAACATGAACTGATGTACCAACATACGAAGTTCTACGTTGCATCTGACTGACTTACTTTATATAATAAATAGTATGTTAACCGGAAAAAATCTGATTAGGAAAAATGTTGCTTGACAACACTAATTGACGATTACTTGCAATAATCACTGATTGGCTAGTTTTAAATTGTCAAATACTATTTGTGAGTTTTTTCAATCATATAATTTCAAGTTAAGTCAATGATGATTTATGATGGTGATCTTACTGTAATTTTTCGATAATCAACGATCAGATATGAAGTATACTGTTAGTCAATTAAATTCATTCTCGTTTTGTTTGGCAAGTCTAATTGTGCATCAGTCTAGAACATGTCAGGTCGAGGAAAAGGTGGTAAAGGTTTGGGCAAAGGTGGAGCGAAGAGACATCGCAAGGTCTTACGCGACATCATCCAGGGTATCACGAAGCCTGCTCTCCGCCGTCTTGCTCTCCATCGTGGTTTGAAGCGCATTTCCGGACTGATCTACGACGAGACTCGTGTTGTTCTGATGGTGTTTCTGGAGAACGTGATCCGTGATGCAGCAGTCACCTACACGGAACATGCTAAGAGGAAGACAGTGACAGCTATGGGGGTGTTGTGTACGCTCTGAAACACCAGGGTCTCGTACTTTGTACTTGTTTCGGCGGTAAGTTTACTAGCATGTGAGGAGCAGCTAGTGACCACCTACCTGCAGCTGTTCCATATTATATATATATGTATATAATAATATGAATTCTCTCTCATACATTGTGATATCTTTTTCTTATTTCAACAATTATAGATTATATGTTTTGCTCAGACGAAAGTAGAGAATCACAGTGTTTTTTCATCGTTCACACATTACAGTTGAACAAGAAGAAAGTCATATATTTCTTTTTTTTTTTATACAAACAATCAAGAAAAAAATGTTTCATAGATTAATTATTTATTATCTGAACAAGATGAGATAATAAATCCTTTGCAATTTTCTACCATATTTTTTGAAGTTTTATTTATCATTGAACAGATGGGCTTTTCATCATTCTTTTTTTTGATTCGTTTTATAGAAAAGAAGAAAAAAAACAAACTTGTGTTACTTTTCGTTTTATTTTATTATTTATGCTTTATTTGTGCATACATAGAGTTCTAATTTTTTTGTTTTTCGCCTCTTCTGAAAATTCGTTTTTTCATTTTCATTTTTCCTTTTTTTTATGTATATAGCAAAAATTTTTATGGATGAAATCATTGATTTGTTTATTTTACATTTTGGTATATCGTGGGACACCCGAGTGAGCAACGCTGTTATTAGGAAACGAGTACTAGGCAAGGATGGCAGATCAATCGATGAAGTATTGAAACTTCATCAGTTGAAGTGGTTGGGACATGTGCTGCGTGTGCCCAACCACCGACTGCCCCGACGAGCTATGTTTTGTGGTATAGGAGTAGGTTGGAAGAAAGTTGGGGGTAGCCAGACCAAAACATGGCAGAAATCCATGAAGTCATTGACGAGTGGACTGAGTCATGTTGGTAGTTGTCGATTACCTGGTTGGGGTCCGCGAGATGATAATAATCGATGGTTAGATACCCTGAATGACATGGCTCAAAACCGTTTGTAATGGCGCCGGTGCATTTATTCTTTGCGTTCTCTCAAATCCTAATCTTCTGGATTCTTCAACACCTCTATTTTTGACTTTCTAAACTTATCTCACTGAATCACACTTCTTGAATAATATCTTCTAATTTTAACCTCTCCGATTACTTATAATACCTTTACTACCTCTACTACTAAATTGGATTTGAATTGACAATAATATCTCTGTGCTGATATGGTATGGCGACATGAAGTGATGTACTTACGTACGAAGTTCTACGTTGCATCTGACTGACTGACTGATTTTACATTTAGTAGGGGTAGTATTTTTCGCAAACTAGATATAAATATCAGTTTTAATTGTTTACGTGGTCAACATGTGAAAAGGTTAAAAAAAACATCAGATTAATGGTAAAAAAATGTCATGTCATGTCAAATAAGGTACAAAAAATTGAGAAGCATCCTAGGAATTATAGTTAAATAAATATAGGTTTGTATTGATGAATTATTGAATTCTCTGTTGTGGATTAGTTTTCGTTCTGTTATCTTTATGTCAGTTGATCCGCAATCTCTTTTTCGTATCTGTAAAAGTTAATCCTCGGAGAAATCGTTAAAAAAATCATGCTGTGTGGTTAATCTCTGCAAGCGCCGATAACTTGATGAATATACATGAAGGGTGGTTCAACGACCCAGTTTATACTAAATAAATCCGATATGACGGTAATGAGGAATAGTAAGATAAGAATAATTTGTGGATTTCTAAGTGTTAAGATCGAGTACACGTAAAAACATGAAAAATAAACAAACTGGTGATACTTCATTGGCCTGTAGGCTGACTTCTTTATTTAAGGACGTTTGTGTGTGCGATGAAATTAATTAACCCTGTATTTTCCGTATATCGTACTTAGGTGAACCCCTTTATGAGACGGCGGTAATTAGAAACCGAATATGTATTCAGTTGGATTAGTTTATTTCAGGCAATCATTCGTGCGTCCACTTAAGCACAGTAATCAGAATGAAACGCATACAAGGATGACGAGGCGAAAGCGATGAGCCAAATCCGTGCGATAAAGCATAGCTCTGTTTATGGTCAGGCAAAGATAAACTGGACACGTAGTAAACGACACAAACACTCGAATAAAAACAACCAAGATATGAGCGATAATAATAATGAGCGAGCCCTGTGGGCTCGACATCAAAGTAACGCACTCCAATACTTGGTCATAAGTCATTAACATAGGTACTTCTAGAATCAACTCTAGACTACAATATAACATGTGTTTACCAGTTTCTGCTTCCGTTAATAATTCGGTGATTTTTAATGTGGTATTCAGTGGTTTAGCGAATTCATGCAGTTTTGTGTCTTCGAAAAAACTGCATAATAGTAACCACTTTTGTGTATTTATTGCACATAACTTATATTGAGTTATTCAAAAATGAAACCATGTTGACTGGTTGGTTCTCCCTTGCTTATCATGATTTTCGATCTAATTTGAAGAGATCAAAAGATAGTTACGTAACAAAAACGCTACTCTCAGAGCGATATGCTATTAAAGTTCTTTATGTACAGCTACCAAACGTCCAGCCAATGCCGATATTCCACTGTCCCTCTGAAAATGCTCTCATGACCATGCGAATATAACATTTGCTAGAATAGTCTTGCTCACTACCTCGTAGCGTGAGTGTTGTTTACGGAATTGAGAGGACGTAAAGCGCGTCTGGTGCTTTTACCAGTTTAGTGAGCATGCAAGATCCACCTAAGGAAGTTCGAAAATCACGTTTTCAAACCTATGGTTCACATTAGCTCCATAATACTGATTAAGAGAATGGTGCATGAACACACGCTACCACGGGACTGCGACTTTCGTTTCTCTATCGGGCTGATTAGACTTTTGGGTCAAAGACACGGACTGCGACCACCCAAAGGAAACCTCTGCTTCTGTTTGGGCGTTCGGACAGTATCCCAGCGCGCTCACATTCAAAAATGTGTGTGGCGCATAAGTATTTGGTTGTCCTTTAGAACCAATATTTGTGTTTAATAAAACAGCACGAATGAGATTCATTAGCAGCTATCTGGCTTTTCATTTACTAAATGACGATATGATTACTGATATCTTTTTATCCTTCTATTTAATCGAAAAACCAGAATTTAGTGTAGTGCCTTCAAGTACATTTGAGTTCCCTTATATTTAATTTCGATTAACCAATTTAACCAACAACAGCATTGGTTTTTATTATTATCTGGTTTGTGTTAGCTGATACAACTGAATATTGCTTACGCCTACGCGCATATTCACCCTATTCGCTTTGATATTAGCCTCTTAAATATTTCGATGACTCAGACATTTCACTATGCACATATACGAACATTTTAATCTTATTAGTTCATTCACTGATTCGCTCACTCGCATAACGATGTTTTCTTGATCCGATGAAACTCATCTACCTCAGATGGCTAATCAGGAGACAAAAACGTCAAATCCAAAAACTCCCTATTATTATAACTCAAAACGCGGGATATGAATGAAGGTCACAATAGTGACTGGTGTAGATTTAGATTTTAAATTGTCTTATCACCACCTTATTAATTTATACCCTGAGAAAACTCCACAGGATCCTCTATGAAGCATTAAGGACTAGACAACCTGTTATATATCACTGCTTAATCAATATGATTATCAGTTGCAGTCAGGACGCTTCAAGAACTGTTGGGCTAGATCCGAATCCCGCAGGAAACATAGGTTCACTTAAGATCAAAGGTACTTCTTGCTGACGAGCTCTAAGTGTCAGAAAATCTCTGTTCAGAGACTACTACCGACTCAGACTGGCGGTCATATTCCAACTGGAATTTGAGCAGCGGTTAAAGGCCTTGAAGAAGATATCGTTGATCGCTTATCACTGAATAGTAGTAAATGTACACATTACTTTATTAGGAGTTATACAATTTAAAAATTAGTCTGACTTAGAAACTTCACTATAACTAGTGTAAATACTTCATATATTGTGAAAAGCACATGGCTAGCATGTACTGAAGAAGCTTACCTCATACTTCAATAAATCTGTTGTCGATGATTTACTTACACAAACTTTTGGAAAGTTCTTGGAAATGCATTGATTTTGAATAACTGCCAACATTTAAAGTTCTTCAAAGTAGAGTTATTTATATAGTGTGCATTAAGTAAATTCAACTAATGTAGATTATTTTTATGATCAAGTTTCAATTATGATTGAGAAACATTAACATAGACTAGTAGAAGTATGATCGCATTCATAAAACTGATGAATTTACGATTACTTATGATTGCATAAGTTCATCACTAAGATATAACGATAGGGATTGATTGATTATTAACAAGATTGGGAATCTTTATCCGACATTTTGAGAATTCCTAATTTGTACATGATTATTTGGTAAACTCGGTAAGTATGTTATAATCATTAGCATACTTAACCCCACCTGGAGCCGTAATAGGGTTACTGAAGGTTACAAGCTAGGATAAAGGAGGCTTGTGCATTGGGTCAACGTTCCAAAATCATAGGAAAGTAACCTGTTGAAAAAAACTCTGACCAGAACAAATAATTCAAAACCTACTCTAAGACTTAAGCCTCCTCCTATTGGAAGAGATGTCACGCCTAACGGTAAAAACCGAGTTTCATTGGAAGTCACGAGACCAACATTCTCTTTGAGGACCAAAGCTACCACTCGTAGAGATATATGGAATGTTTGTACACTGTGAGAGACCGGCAGAACTATTCAAGTTGCTACGGAAATGAAAAGATACAACCTGACAGTGTTTGGAATAAGTGGAACCCGTTGGATGAAGGCTATAAAAAAGACTAGCTTTAGAAGAGACTCTGTAATAATCCGGTCAGTAAGAAGAAAATGCGACGCAAACACACAAGGAGTTGCACAGACGCTATCCAAAGAATTTCAAAACTTATGGTAGGATAGTTAGAATGAGAAGCGGAAATATGTGAAGAAAAGGCTGCAAAAGAAGGAAACAAGAAACGATTACACGACACAACAAAGAAACTAACTGAAAACTATCGTAAACCAGAACGACCAGTCAAGAACAAAGAAGGCAAATTAATCAGTGAGATCCAGGAACAGCGAAACTGGTGCGTAGGGCACTTTGAAAAACTCTTGAACAGACCAACCTTACTGAACACAACCACCATTGAAGCAGCAACTGCAGACCTCGCAATTATAGTTGACCAACCAACATACAAAGTAATCAGCATGGCCATCAAATAAATCAAGAGTGGTAAAGCAGCAGTACCAAACAAACATACCATCTGAGACACTGAAAGAAGACAGCAGTAACTGAAGAGATGTTCAGCTCAATCTTCAACAAGATTTTGAAGGAAGAACAAGTACCAGCAGACTAAAAAGAAGGGCACCTAATCAAGATACCAAAGAAAGATCTTAGCAAGTGTGAAAACTACAGAGACACCATTCTACTTTTACTACCAGAAAAAATCCTCAACAAAGTGTTGTTACACCGAATGAAAGATTCAGTAGATGTTCAAATTCCAGATTCGTGGGGATCGATCATGTACCGATCAATTTGCGACACTAAGGATCAATGTGCAACAATCAATTGAATGGAACTCACCACCATGTATCAACTTCCTTGACTACAAAAAATAATTTGACAGAGTGGACAGGATGACACTATGGTGTGCCTGAGAAGATAGTCAACATCATACGGAATTTTTACGATTGACTAAGGTGCAAAATTTTGCATGGAGGACAGCTCGTTCCAAGTGAAAACCGATGTCAAGAAAGTATGTTTGCTCTCGTTCTTCCTCCTGCTGGTTGACTGGATTATTACGATGCCAACATCTCAGTGGACAACCTTGATGGAGCTGGACGATTTAGACTTTGAAGTTGACTTAGCTCTTCTATCCCACACAAAATAACAAATGCATAAGTTAGGGCTTGCCTCGTTATAATACAATCGGGTGATTTCCGCAATGTGTATCCTATCCACCTCCAGTGTTTTTTTCCTGATTACTGGATTTGTTTCGTTCTCTCCCAAAACAGACTGTTGCTTATGGTGTCTGGTCAACAGATTTGAAGTATCTTCCACAGACAACTCTTACTAAACACTGGTATCTTTTGAATGGTGGGTTTCAGTAGTTCTCCAAGTTTTCGATTGATAATTATCATGAAATGTGTATGAAAGTGTCAAGTTTGCTACGTATCACTATTTCATGAAGAAAAAAAAAGACAATTTAGGTAAAAATTGATAATCATTGTTTTTGTAAACTGACAGAGAGACATTACAGCATGGAAGCTTCAAATGGTCATATTCAAAAAAGTGAAGGTGTGTTACTACTATTCTATAAAAAAAAATAGTGTAAAAATATAAAACTATCCCTGATATATATATATATATATATATATATATATATATATATATATATGTGAAGCAGAATTGAGTGTTTACAATCTAATAACTGTAAGTATAAAAAAAAGAAGAGAAAATTGTCATGTTGAGCTGACACACATTATAGAGTTTACAGCAAAAAAAATGGATATTTATATTCTTACACCATTGAACAATACAATATTTATAATATATTATTAATTGAAATACATATTCATGCGGTACATTTACGTGATAAAAAATAAACTCTAAAGCATCAATAAAATAAGTTAGTTGTAGCAACAACAACAAAAATACCTCAAAATTATACGACATGAATAATAAACAACTTGAGTATAATAATATATGTATTTTAGTAATAAATAATAAGATGTGATTAATTTATTATTTCCTTCTGTAGACAAACTAATTAATGTATAGTAGAGATCATCATTTCATGAAAGGTGATGCAATATCAGCTAATTTCGACATGAATATTTGTTTCTCATCATCTTTTGAATGTGTACAACCTAATGTCAAGTGTTGACTAACTACTTGACGATCTGTAAGAAAAAAAAAAAGAGAAAACACAAGAATTACTATTATTTTTAAAAAAAAATCATGATAAATATATAGTATTTCAACTCGTTTTTTAAACTTTTAACAGGGTTTTTTAAAATTTTTTGTAATCCTTAGAATGTCAGAAATAAATAGAAAAAACAACTTGATTTCGAATGAAAAAAGAAAAAGCCTTATAAAAAAAGTTATTGAAGATGGATACAGCGTCAAGGATGCGGCATTTCTTACAGATGTAAACTATCAGGCCGCTACAAATATTATAAGGTTGCATAAAAAGGAATCGCGAGTTGAGAATAAAAAAAAACAGGAAAATCATCAAATAAGATGATATTCGGTGATATTATCAATTTTGTTGAAGACTGGATAGAATTAAACCCGTTAATAACGATGGTGGTTCTTATTTTATTTTTTCAAAAAAATTTTAAAAAACGCTGTGAAAATTTAAAAAAATTTTTTGGTTATTTTAAAAAACCCTGTTAAAAGTTTAAAAAACGAGTTGAAATACTGTATATGACTACAAATCTAGAATCTGATTGGTAAATAGTGGTGGCTTTTGATAGATAATTTTTCCGCCTTAAATTGTGCTGCGAGCTATTACATTGTCACTTTCGCCCAGTCTTAAACTCTCTTTCCTGTACGCATATGATGCGCCCTTGGTTAATTAGTTGTTTTTTTCGCAAAAAATTTTACAATTAAATAATATATTTGTTTGTGTGTGCGTGCGTGTACAGTGTGTATCATAATAACACATCGATCGTAATCATAATAATAATTAGAACGACATCAGTGTTCTTATTACTACTACTACTACTACTACTGTGGTGTGAGCTACTTATTAGTATATGACGTGAGTGAAAACGTAATGTCTGGCAGCAGAAGATGGAGGAAGATCAAGAAACGAAGAGTTAGAACACAATGGAGTTTGTATGAAACGCATGAATAGTAGTGACAATGGATTGATGTTTTGCAACAGCAACAGTCCAGTTCGATAGGATGAACTGATATTTTGCAAATGAACAATTTACGATATGGTTTTCCTATTTTACTGAGTAACTCTGTAATTTTCGTTAAATACAATTCGGTTGCCCTCACCTGTGTTCTCGTTCACTACACAAGGATTACTATTTTTTTTAAAAAAAAATCATGATAAATATATATGACTACAAAATCTAGAATTCAATTGGTAAATAGTGGCTTTTGATAGATAATTTTTCCGCCCAAAATAATAATATGTTGATGTGAGTAATCGTGAAGTTAATCGTGTGACTAGATCACAGAAATAGTAGCTAAAAAAAACCCATTCATGAAAATATCAGTCAGCGAAATTGTGGATATATAGTAAATTAGAGATTAGCTTTGTTTTCATTCGACAGAAAGAGTATTCGTATTTGCACATTGTAAATTTACCATAGAGAGATTTTTCAAAACTTGATTTCAAGTGAATATCAACATGTAATTGAGAAAAAAACCCCAAGCCGATACAATTATCAGTCAGTCAGTCAGGCAGATGCGACGTAGAACTTCGTATGTAAGTACATCAGTTCATGTTGCCATAACACATCAGCACAGAGACGCAAATGTCAAATCAAATCCTATAGTGATAAAGATAGTAGAGGTATTAATGGTAATGAAGAAAACTAGGGTTCGAAGATATTATTTAAGAAGTATAATTAAGTGAGATAAGATTAGAAAGACAAAGGTAGAGGTGCTGACGAATCCAGAAGATTAAGATTTGAGAGAGCTCAACGAATGGATGCACTTGCGCCATTGCAAACGATTTTGAGCCATGTCGTTCAAGGTCTCTAACCACTGGTGATTTTCGTCTCGCAGACCCCGACCAGGTAGTCTACATCTACCAACATGATTCAGTCCACTAGTCAGTGACTTTATGACATCAGCAAAGAGAGGTAATTGTCAATTCAAATCAAATAGTAGTAGAAGAGGTAGTAAAGGCATTAGAAGTAATCGGAGAGGTTAGGATTAAAAGATATTATTCAAGAAGTATGAGTCAGTGAGAAAAGTTTAGAAAGTCAAAACTAGGGGTGTTGAATAATCCAGAAGATTAGGATTTGAGAGAACACAAAGAATAAATGCACCGGCGCCATTGCGAACGATTTCGATACAATTATCATTTCCATATGTTATGACCACATAATTAAAACACATTATAGTGCACAACTCAATTGATAATTCACACTGATGTTCGTTCGGTAAAGTCTTTAAAAGCTAGGGGAAAAAAAAGCTTAACACATCATCTGTTCTAAATAGTATTCAATAGAAATTTCCCAAAGTTCCAGGAAAACGATAAATTGTGTCATATCTTTACTGGATAACTGTTGCTTTTGTTATTATTAATACTAGTGTGTCTCCAATAAGCTTTTCGAATATTAAGACCATATATAAAAACCCATAAATACCTTTGTATTTATACTTAAAGCAAAAAACATTTCAGTACTTCCAGTCTTTTGTCTTCTTCACCTTCAAGATTAACAGTAGATTTCTGAAAATCAGGAATAGGTTACAAAAGCAATATCTTCTAGCCTTTGAAACACTAAATATGCCAGTTTATGCACTAGAATAACAATAATAATGATGATGACCATAAATAAAACAAGTGTAATCAATTTGAAAGAAAATTTGTGAAAAAAACAACCACCTTGAAAGAAAGAACCATTTTGAAATCGTCTAACATTTGGCACCATAGCTAACCAAATTGCTGTATCTGCACCTTGTTCTGGTGTTCTTAGTTTGTTTTTCATTTTATTATAAAATGATGGCATCGAGAGAGCGACAGCCTGAAATTATATAATACGTAGATATATTCTTTTTTCTTCATGAGAATATATATAAGGTACAGTAACAAAAAAAATAAGTCACATGATGAAATTGCACAAGAGAGGTGGACAGACAAGTCCTGGTTATAGATGATCAACATTGAAATAAGATTTTGCATTTCATTACCTACATCACAGTAAAATATACCTAACGGCCTTAAAAAGAAAATTCAGACTAACTTTGAGATCGTAATTAACTTTGTTTAAAAAATTAACATAATAAAAAATAATAACAGAACAGTAATAAATACCAATGAAGCAGTAGGCCAGGAGATTTTAAAATGTTTCTGAAATGAATTGGTTAAGTTTCTTTTTATTTCAGATTATTTTATTATTATGCATATAATTCCCGACCGAAGCTGCTACTTTGACGTGGATGTATAGACCACATCTTCACACTACGTCAGGTCCTGGAACGCAGACATACATTTAGAAGTCCGACAATAGTTGTCTTCCTGGAATCTGATGATCGTGAGGTTGTGTGGCAGTGTTTGTCATTGAAAGGTTTACCAAAGAAGTACATTAACCTCATACAAACATACAAGCTCTCTACTCGAACACCACTGGTCGAGTGAGAGCTTATGACGAACTGTCATCGGAATTCTTTACTTCAAGTGGTGTCCGTCAGGAGGGATGTCCACTCTCTCCATTCTTCTTTAATTTTATCATAGACATGCTCCTAGAAATAACCTTAGCCTCGTATGAATTTTCATAATTAGACTTTTTACCAGGAGGCTCGCTTATTGACTTAGAATATGCCGATGACATAGTCCTAGTTGGTGAAGACGCTAACAAAATGCAGAGTCTTCTGACTACCCTAAGCAACAATGCAAGTATGTTCGGGATGCGGTTTTCCCCTTCAAAATGCAAAATGTTGCTTTAAGAATGGGTTGCATCGGCATCTGAACTAGTGATAGGGAGTGAAGTAGTCGAATGTGTATACCGCTTCATTTATATTGGGAGTCTCATCAGTGCCGATGGCCATGTGACTGACGAAATCTCATCGCGGATACAGAAAGCTCGATTGGCTTTTGCCAAGCTGCGTCACTTATGGCACAGGCGAGATATCCGTTTGCTAACCAAAGGACGAGTGTACTGTGCAGCAGTTCGCTCCGTCCTACTTTATGGCTGTGAAACATGGCCGTTAAGAGCAGTGGACTTTTGTAGGTTACTAGTGTTCGATCATCGGTGTATCCGAAGCATTGCTCGTGTAACATGGGACAACCATATAAGCAATGCTGTCGTTTGGAAACGAGTTCTAGGTAGGGATGGCAAATCAATAGATGAAGTAGTGAAACTTCATCAGTTGAGGTGGTTGGGGCATGTGCTGCGTGTGCCTAACCACCGACTGCCGCGACGAGCTATGTTTTGCAATGTAGGAGTAGGTTGGAAGAAGGCTAGGGGCGGCCAAAACAAAACATGGCACAAATCCATGAAATCACTGACTAGTGGACTGTGTCATGTTGGTAGATGTAGGCTATCTGGTTCGGGTCCGCGAGACGAAAGTCACCAATGGTTAGAGACCTTGAATGACATGGCTCAGAATCGGTTGCAATGGCGTAGGTGCATCCACTCCTTGTGTTCTCTCTAATTCTAACCTTCTGAATTCCTCATAATCTCTACCTTTCTCCTTCTAAATTTATCTTACTGAATTATAGTTCTCGAATCGTATCTTTGCTCCCTAATCTTTTCGATTGCTGCTAATACTTTTACTATCACTATCACTTTTGGATTTGAACTGACAATTGCATCTCTGTGTACTGATGTAGTATGGCTACCTGAACTGATTGTACTTATGTACGATGTTCTGCATTGTATCTGTCATATCATATAATTAGAAAACAAAATAATAATAATAATAGTAGTAATTAAAAAAATTTACTGGTGTATCAGCCCAACCAGGATGCATTGAACAAAAGAATATTTCTGGATAGTTTTTAGACCACATTTCAGTCATAACAACTTGTTGACGTTTATTTTGTGCATAAACCATTGTTCCATCAAATTTTTTCTGTTTCATTGTAAGCATTGGATCAGCATGATTTAATTTTTCTACTAACATTCCACCTGAACTAACAGTAATCACACGAGCCTATATATAAATATACAAAAACATAAGATGATATAGATGAAAATCGGTAATTATGATTAAAATGAAAATTAATTACATTGATAGTAATTTTATGTAAAGAATGAGCAAAAATAAATGCTACTAATTAGTTGATGATTTTTGCCTTGCATGATTATCATCATCATCATCATCATATCATTTTGAAACTGATCACATTATTTCTGCGTGCTAATATTAATTGTTTGATTGATTGATTAATTAAGTAGTAGTAGAAAAAATAAAACTACAATACAATACAATACCATACACCATATGGAATGAATGAATCAGACTTATCAGAATGATGCAAAACAAACTAATTAACTTGAATATGATAGGAACGTACGTATACAACAGTTCAGTTGACATGGTCAAGATTAATTAATTAGATGACCAAATTAATCATCATCATCATCATTATTTACTTACTTAAATCAACAACAACAACAAAAAATTAGCTGATTCTCTAATATTTTTGTAACCATGAATCGACGATGATCAATGTTAGACCAGCACCATTAGAAACCTGGAAGCACTGAAGGACGGCCGTTTCGTCCTGGTATGGGACTACTCATCAGTGGCAGTGTGCATCCATGTTTCTCTAGTGGTGGTGGTGGTCTAACATTGATCATCGATTCATGGTTACCAATCTTCACAATAACCCCTGTAATGAAGATTCTCTAATATGCATAATATTTTCTTTGTTGTTGTTATTGAAATTTTTATTTTAAACAAAGAATTTATCTTATTTGCAGCTATTTATTAAATACCTACCTACTGTATAATCATCGTTAATCAACAATGTCATTAAAAATTTCTAGATAGCTTGCTTTGTGTTTTATTTTTTTAGGTCACTCACTACTTCTGTATGGAATTTTGATTTTCAGTGAACTAATTTGCAAAATTTTTATTAGTAACTAATAAAAATTTTTAAAGTTTTTTTTCTAAAAGATAGATACATAACGTACGTATTCAATCAAAGCTCTAATTATTTTCTTACTTTTAATCAATTAAATTTTTTTTTGTACAGTTTGTTAGAATGCTTTGTAATGTATCTTACTACTGAAATATTGAAATATTATTATTCAATAACAAAAATGTAACAGAAAAAACTAAAAAACAATAGAAGTTTTAATAATAGAAATGGTTGAACACTGTTTACTTTTAATGAGGGTTTTTTTTAACGCTGTTAGTCAATATAGCGTATTCAATTTATCAATACATTTTATTATTATAGATTATGTGATAGTTGCTTGAAATCAAACTGGATTATGAAGACGTCGACATCTGGAGGGAAGCACGGTATCCAATGGACAGTTAGGACGCAGCTGGACGGTCTGGAATTCGCAGATGATCTGGCTCTTCTATCGCACACTCAACAACAAATGCAAGAGAAGACGACCAGTGTAGCAGCAGCCTCTGCAGCAGCAGCAGGTCTCAACATACATAAAGGAAAAAGCTAAATTCTCCGATGCAACACAACATGCACCAACCAAACGACTCTTGATGGAGATGCCTTGGATGACGTTAACACCTTTACATATCTGGGCAGCATCATCGACGAGAAAGGTGGATCCGATGCAGATGTGAGGGCATGGATTGGCAAAGCAAGGGCTGCATTTCTACAGTTGAAAAATATTTGGAACTCCAAACAACTTTCAACCAAAACCAAAATCACGATTTTCAATACAAATGTCAAGACAGTTCTACTGTATGGAGCGGAAACATGGAGAACTACCAAAGCCATCATCCATAAGATACAAGTATTTATTAACAGTTGTATACGCAAAGTACTTCGAATTCGTTGATCAGACAGCATCAGCAACAACCCACTGTGGGAGAGAACAAACCAGATTGCAGTTGAGGAGGAAGTCAGGAAGCGGCGGTTTAAGTGGATAGGACACACACTATGAAAAGCACCTAACTGCGTCACAAGACAAACTCTCACATGGAACCCTCAAGGTGAAAGGAAAAGAGGAAGACCAAGGAACACACTACGCCGAGAAATAGAGAAAGATATGAGTGGAATGAACAAACATTGGACAGAATTGCATTAATCAACTTGTAACAAACAATTCAATGAGAAATTAATTAATTAATTAACATGGTATTTTAATATAAAAAAAATCTACAAAAAATTTTCAGACCAAATAAAACGCGAAACACAATTGAACATATCTAATTTTATAATATCCTATTTGATAATTTCACATAAATTATATAAAGATATATGATGCGTTAATAAAAAAAAAATTAATTGTTTATTCTTACATCAGATGATTTTTTTAATGCTGGTATTAAACTTTCAGTTAGTATAAAAGTACCAAGTGTATTTGTGGCAAAATTAGCTTCTAGACCATTTTCATCAGTTTTATATTCATTAATCATACAACCAGCATTATTAATCTACAACAGTAAGTAAGTAAGTAATATTAGATAAATAAATAAATGATAGAAAGCAGCAAACAATAATTACGAAGAATTAGAACAACACAAGTATAAGTGAACAATAATTGTTGTTTTCGATTAGATCGTCATCAGGCTGCTGCTTTACTCTAATAGATACATGAATATTTACATATGAAAATGTTAAAATCAATCAATCAAGGCAATTCATGAGTGATAATCACTCTTTAAGTCAGGAGCTGGAATTCATCAACGGCTCACTAACCGAGATTGGTTATCCCAGTGCATTCATAAAGAAGTATATGTTTGCCGTTAAAAAAGAAGTCGATGGTTTCGACCGCCCAAAAGAAACCTTTATTTATGAAGTTACAATTCAACGGAGATGTGGCCTTTTTCATTTCATTGTGATTATTGACTCATACTGCCTTGACTGGTTTAACATTTTCATATAAATATTCATGTATGTTAGAGTAAAGCAGCCTGATGACGATCTAATCGAAAACAGCAATATTGTTAGCTTATATCTGTGTTGTTCTAATTTACACAATGGGAATCTTTAATTACGAGGAAGTGAGTTTATTAAAAATGAACTGATTGAAAACTACAACTTTTAATCAGTCAAATAGCTTGTGAAACTTGATAAATAAGGAAGGTAATCCTAACCCTACTAACTAACCATGGGTGTTAGTTTAGTTATTTTGCATAACTCATTGTAGTTGTTATGCCAAAACTAACTAACCAATCAACCAATTGTGGTTTAAGCGCCTACCACGTGATCGTCTGATCTGATCTGACATGTCTGTAAACTTTCTTAGTTGTAAATGACCTATTAATAATTGAAGGATATTATTATCTTATTGCATTGATATGACTCATAGTTTCATTTATTTCCATAAGACACGCTAATATTGGTTGGTATGTTTGATCGATTCATTTGGTAACTGTAATTTACTTATTTATTGTACTAATTTAATTGTTTTTATGTTTAGAAAGTCATAAAGTTTAAAGCAAAATTGGTCTTGTGTGTGACTATATAGCTTTCCCATAGACTCTGTGCTATAATAGTCGGTCCTATAATAGTAGAACTTAGTGAATTTCTATTTATAAGGGTGTTGGGGATGTTAGATCCCCAAAATTCGCTTGATAATGCCGTATTTTGGTTTTCACGATTTGCCAGCATGGGCTGATCAGATGACCTTGCGATTTCAATTCCCACCAGGAAAATCCATGGCTGCGATTGGCTGCAGTGTATTTTAGTATGCTATTTTCTTAACTGTCTCAAGGACGTTCTTGTGTTGTATAAATAAACGAGAGTTGTATGCTTGATTGTACTGTGATTGCTGGGTGTTTGTAGAATATACTTTCTACGCTTACAAAGACTTTTCACTTCAGCCTCGGATTCAAGGTAGCCTCCCTGGAAGCTGGTAAAAGTCTCGTTCGCGTTAGACACCAGGAAGCACTGAACGGGCGTTTCGTCCTGGTATGGGACTCATCAGTGGCAGTGCGCATCCACGACTTCTGCACCCCGCAGGATTCGAACCCAGGACCTTCGGTTTCTAATGGTGGTCTAACATTGATCGATTCATGGTTACAAATCAAACTTAACAATCTTCATAACAACCCCGCAATGGAAATGATCAAGTCAGTACTAATTAATGAGCTTTAATTACCAAAATATCTAGACGTGAATCATTACTGCTAGCAAATTGTTTTCCGAAATTCCGGACATCATTCGGTTTAGCAAGATCCAATGAATGAATAATTATACGCTGAAATCAAAACAAGTAAATAAAATAGCAGAAACAGGATTAATTTGTATACAATATGACTAAAACAACTGCAAAACTTGAATAAATAGTTCATGTGAACGAAGACTCATAAACGTTGTATTGATGATCATAGACAAAAATAATAAAACAAGTAGTGTGAATTAGTAAAAAAAAAGAAAGTTTCAGCTTGTCTACTTACTTACAGATTACAACAAACATTTAAACAAAATGATAACAGTGCCTAATATTTTCTCAATCTTGGTTGGATAAGGGTTGAGGTTGTTAATATTTAGGAAACCATTTATACGAACGTATTTCAATACCCTTGTATTACCATACTACTCTTAGATGTAATTTGAGTTTTAAAAATGATGTACGAAATTCAGTAGTGGTTTTTCTCATTCATATTAATAATAATGTGTGAACCTTGTTCGTTTAATTACCAAGGGATATATCTACTGTATTATTATTTCAATGCAAGCGATTATGTGTGTTCAAGAAGCAGCGATCAATGGTCATTTTGATAATAGTTGTAATTAAAAAAAACACTGGATTTAATCGGAATATATAAATAAATGAACCAATATGATGAAAAAGGATCTTTCTGATCTTTTTACTAAATCAAACTTCCTGGTGTTTTTTTTCTGAGTAATCGATGCTAAAACAAAAGGAACCTATCGCATACTGGTTTAATATATATATATATATATATATATATATATATATATATATATAGGAGTGAATACATTCGTACCACTACGGAATATTCCGAAATATATCAGCCGGTTGCTTTAGCCACTCAACAAATTCTCTTAAGAGCTGGACAACTCTTTAAAAACAATACCAAGGAACATTTCGATTTTTTTTTTGCATACTAAGCTAATTTCCATAAACTCCAATTCTATGAAATTTTACCTAGCCCGTTATAACTGTATAAAATGTCCAGTATGTACAAAAGTTACTTTGATAGATGGTCCGAAAGAATCAATTTTTATTTGAGTTAATTCAAATAATTATTAAATACAGAATTTTATAAAAACTAAGGGGTCACTACTTAATGCAAAATATCAGTAAACTAAAATCATTATAACAAAAATGCATTGAAAAGTAAGTAAATGGACAAAATTCACTTTCAATCAATACAGGAAATGTGAAATTGATTTCTTTGTGAATGCTAGATTTGAGAATTTAGCATCTGCAACAGCAAACACTCTTGGTAATTCACATGATGAGACACATATATTGCTTAGTGAAAAAGAATAACTAACCGAATCTTTTGCTCCAGTTTCAGAGATTATCTGTTGACGTGCCTCTTCAGCACGAGGTTTACTACGACAAACCATATGGATTTCTGCACCGTGTCTAGCTAATTCCTTGCAACACATAAGACCTATCCCTGAATTTGCTCCAGTTACTAAAACACGATGATTGTCTAAGCGTACATTTGTCAGTTCATTAGGATCAAAACGTGAAGCAGCTGATTCATAGCCTGATCTTAATAAATAAGAAATGTATGTTATGAAAAAAATAATAAAGGCTTTTATAAAATATATAGATTTTTAGCAGAGATTGTGTTAGTGGGACATAGATGGAATTAAAGCATGACTATGTTGCTGTGCGCTGATTGGCTAAATTCCTACCCAATCAGCGCCTGATCGAATCTTGGAGAACAGGCTAGAAGATTCTCGTACTGTTGGCTGCGTGCTGATTGGTTAAATCTAATCCAGTCGATCATGTGAATTTCTATCCAGAAGCTTCTCATGTAAATGCTATAAATAAAACTAACGTTGTATCTATTTTCGACTTCGCCTTCGGCTCTTATTCCATTTAACCTTTTCTATTTGGAATATAATCTTTTCCTGTTCAACCATGTTTTGATTTTTGGGAACTTGTCCAGTGTATTGTGGTCAGAGAATACTAAGCAATAGGATTTAGCCGGGACTTATCTAAGCATACTGTTACAACAGATTGGTATGCCTAAAACTACAAACAATTAGGACATCAGATAGATTTTATCTGATTTGATATTTATACTGAGTCGTAAGATGAAACGAATAAATTCGACAACTGGATTTTTGAAACGGCTGGAACATTGAAATACCAGAAATGTATATTTAAATTAAAATATGTTTCATATTATAATCATTCTCATATTTAAGTAAACGAATGAAATTTCAAATGGTTAGAATTATTTGATTCAGTTAATGTTGTTTTAGAATATTGGTTTTCTACGAGATGGGGTTGGTAACCCCATGCCCAAACCTCCGTCTTTATTCTGGTTTGGGACAGGCAGTAATCCCAGAAAGGCTCATGCAGAGATGCTTGTACAAAAATACAGTATATCTGAACGATAAGTTAAGAACAAGGAAAACAAACCGATTACCAACATTTAAGAACAGATAAACAGGGAGGTGGAGCATCAGGTGTGACAACTACAGAGGCATCAATCCACTTCTATGACCAGGAAAATTCCTCAACAACGTGTTGTTATGCCGAATGAAAGATGCAGTAGGTGCTCAACTTCGAGATCAGCAGGCCGGATTCCTTAAAGATCGATCATGTACTGACTACATTGCAACTCTAAGGATCATTGTGCAACAGTCGATTGAATCGAACTTATCATTGTACATCAGCTTCCTTGACCACGAAAAATAATTTGACAGAGTGGACAGGATGAGAAGGTAGTCAAGATTATATACTGGATTATTAAAACGTCAACATCCCAGGGGATACACAGGATATAGTTGACAGCCTGAATGAAGTTGGACGATTTGGACTTGGAAGATGATTTAGTTTTTCTATCCCAAACACAGCAACAAATGCAGAATGGCTTAACATACACAAGGGGAAAAGCGATATCCTCAGATACAATACAGCATCATGCACCAACCAAATCATACTTGATGGAGCAGCTCTGGAAGATGTAGAAACACCTATACATTTCTGGACAGCTTTATTGATAAACAAGGCGGATCTGATGCCGATGTGAAGTCACGGATTAAGGAAGGCAAGGGCACAGTATTTTTACAATTGAAGAACATCTGCAACTCAAGACAACTGTCAACCAACACCAGAGTCAGAATTCTCAATACAAATTGTTCACACAGCTCTATGGCATGGAGTAGAAACTTGGAGAACCACAAAAGCCATCACCCGAAAGATAAAGGCGCTTCTTAACAGTTGTCTACATGAGATATTGAGAATTCGTCGGAAAAACACCAACAGCAATAGCCTACCATAGGGGGGGACAAAACAGATTCAAGCATAAGAACAAATTAGGATGCATAAAAACATATTGAAGAAATCAACTAACTACATTACGAGTCAAGCCTTATCTTGGAAGCCTGCAGAACAAAGGAAGAGAGAGATACAAGAATACATTACATCAAGAATTGGAAACAGATATGAAGAGAATGAACTAGCAGTGGAGTAGAACTGGGAAGGAAGGCTCAAGACAGAGTTGATTGAAGAATTCTGGTTGGTTGCTGCATTAGAGTTAACAGGCGTAAATCAGTAAGCATGACATTTTAGATAAAAATTACTTACTTTGTGTATTCACGCATTCCTTTCGAAAACCAAGCTATACTACGAAATGCAGACATGATCCTGAAGTTAAACGAACAGAAATAGGGAGTTTCAAATAGTGGGTAAATATGTGAAACGATTTTCAAATATCTAGTAATAGTAAGTAAAAACAGTTAACTAGGATTGTGTTCAGGATTATTCAAGTGATTGACCAAATATAAACAAAGTATGAATAATTGCTACATGAAAAAAATTGAAAGTTAAAATAAACATTGAACAAAAATATGTATGTAACCTAGAGTCACGTGAACTTGTTTAAGAACTGAATCAGTAAAAAAACAAGCTCTGACAGCATACATTTTGTTTAGCTATTTATCTGTCTTTTCCATGAGACATGGAAGTTTTGAAAACCCGGTAGTAATTATTTTCTAATGACTGTATCAATGAATTAATGTCGCTCATGGAACCATTTAACCTAGATTAGAATTTATCAGACGTATGAACATGTTCTTGAAGCAGGATCGAAATTTAGTTTTAAATTTATTGGTGAAATAAGATAAATATTTATTAAAATTATTTTTGGATTGAGAAAGATTAGGAAACTTTTGATACTATTGACAACATAAATATATGAGAATACTTCTTTTTACACAATAAGAACGAATTTTAAGTAAATAAAGTTAGTTTGACTTTAATGCCACGTCATAATGATTGCGGGGACTGGAACTATATGGTAATTTTATAATAACGAGTCAAAGAGGATAGTTGCACTTAGATATTATCAAAACTTGATGCTAGCTATCGATCGCCTCTTTCTCCACCTATTGTTCACCACCTAATTATTTTATACTTATTAAATACGGAAATTCGATAGAGCTTTATGACTTGTATTTTGAGTCTATTTATCCACGTTTGACCTACTACTTTCAATGTTAAACTATGTTGACAAAAACTTTTGTTATTGTATTTTAAATTTTTTACCACTAACAGTAAGTACACTTGTCTTTCTACTGATCAACTTCAACTTATACTTATTATATGTAGTTACGTAATCTATGTGAATATTGTGAATATTGACTCATAAATTGGCTTGGTTGGTCTAACATTTTCATAAGAGTATTATTCATGTACATTAGAGTAAAGCCTGATGGTGATCTGGTTAAAAACAATATTGTTCGCTTAGTAGTGTTGTTTTAAAATTCAGGATGGGAATCTTTCATAATTAAGTAGAGTCAAATGAAGACGTATTAGCTAAAGAAATGTTTCAGTAGCCATTAGTTTTGCAAGAATAATACGAACGAGATTCACAGCTGAATAGTATAGAGAATGTGGGTTCAAATATTCGTTGCCTGAACATTGTAATGATAAATCTGATGTTGAACTTGAAATAAATGTATATGTATTGACGTTTTGAAACGTCGTAACAGTTTAAAAACCTATCAAAGACGATAGTTGAGAAGTTACACTTATACTATCTCAGAATCATAGAGAAAGGCATAAAATTCAAGCGATAATGAATAAGATTATGATTCGAAGACATTAATTCAAGAAGAATAATCCAATGAAAGAAACTTAGAAAGAGAAAAACAAAGGTGACAAGGAATTCAGAAGATTACAGTTTCAGAGAACATAGAAAGAACAGATACTACAAACAATTTTGAGCCATTCATTCAAAGTCTCTATACGTCGGCTCCTATCGACTCATGGACTCCAACCAGGTAGTCGACATTTACCAGCATAACTCAATCCACTTGTCATTAACTCCATGGATTTGCGCCATGTTTTGGATTGGCCGCCACTAGCTTTCTTCCAACCTATTTCCACACGCATCGGAGAACTCTGTGATCAAAAACCAGTAACCTACGAGTATCCTCTACTCTGACTGGTCATGTTTCACAGACATATAGTTGGACGGAGCGAACTAATGCACAGTACACTCGTCCTTTAGTCAGCAAACGGATATCTCGCCTACACCATAAGTGACGCAGGTTGGCAAAAGCCAATCGAGCATTCTGCGTCCGAGCTGAGATTTCATCAGTCACCAGGCCATCGGCACTGATAAGTCTCCCCAGATAAGTGAAGCGGTCAACACGCTCAACTACTTCACTCTCTATCACTAGTTGAGGTGCCGATACAAGCAATTCCCGAAGCCACATTTTGCCTTTCGAGTGGGCGAATCACATCCCGAACGTGCTTGCATTGTTGCTTAGGGTGGTCAGAAGACTCTGCATTTTGTCAGCGTCTTCACCAAACAACTAGTCATCTTCCCTGTTTAAGTCAACAAGTGAATCTCCCAGTAAACGTTCAACTGCTGGAAACTCAGATGATGAAACAGTCATATCTTAATGCACTCCAAAATCAAAGTTGAATAGGGATGAAGAAAGTGAACAACCCTAACAAACATCACTCGAAGTAATCAGTTCCGATGACAGTTCGCCATAAGCTCTAACTTGACTTGTAGTGTTCAAGTAGAGAGCCTGTGTAAGGTCAATGTACTTCTCTGTTACACCTTTCAATGACAGACACTGCCACAGAACCTCACGGTCGACAGAGTCAAATGTCACTTTAAGGTCCAAGAAGGTAACTATTGTTGGACGCCTATATGTGTGTCTGTGTTCTAGTACCTGTCAAAGTGTGAATATGTGGTCTATACAGCCACATCCAGGTCCGAAATCAGTCTGGTTTCCTCTAGTCTGCTCTTCACGATCTCTAGTTAAGCGTCGAAGTATAATCGGGGCTAACATTTTCAACACCTTATTAGTTAGTTGCTGCTTTTAGTCTCAACGTTCTCCAATCGAGCTGCCAGGCGTAGAAGTACAGAAAGAAATATACGTTCCAGCCAAAATAGTTAGGTTGGGTCATTACGATAGGCAAGCCCAACCACTATGTCAAAGTAGCAGCTATGGTCGGAGCGGAAGACCGTATATGTAAAGCTTAAAGCGGGCTCGTTCAACGTTCCAATTAGTTAACGTGGCTTATTTGTCAAAACAACTCTAGGGCGATGTCTTAATTGAAGAGGTGCCAAATACTTTTAAAAAATCTCAGATTCTCATTCAAACTTCGGGACATCTAACTAATTTTTGGCAACACGTCATCATAGTAGGACCAAAATTTTGTAAATACTATGTAAATTTAATGGTATCTTCGTATACTCTTATATTGGCGGCATCATATTAAATAGACTGAACTTCACCCATATATGAACTGAACACTTTATTATATTTAGTTATAGTTGATATTTTCGTTAAGACAAAAGATTTTTCTTCAAAATCTTAATAAGTAGGTCGACTTTAATCGAATGTTTCAAATATAATTTTTGGGATATACCACTTCCAATGAAAACTACCAGGTAATTATTGTATTGGAAAAACTAGGAAGATTGACAGAAAGTTCTTCAATTTCAGTAGTCATCACTAAGAGATCATGCGATAGAACTTACATTGAAAATGAGGAGGATAACAATCCAAATCCCAATATCCCACTGATAGAGATAATCAACCAGTTTATCATGAAAAGTGATAAAGACAGCTATGACATCAGGTGAGCACAGCTCTAAAATTGATAAGGAAATTTCAACAGAATTCGTACCGTGGTGAAAATGATATAAATAATTGCACTTTACGATGTACACAAACAATATTCACACTACTCAGTAATAATAAGTAGCATAGAAAATAACTAATGAAACTATTGAACACAAATGAATATCTAATTAGCAATGTATTCTATCTATAAAAACAAAATTGCTATAATTCAGTTCGAATATATTCAAAGCATGTAAAATCTGTGTTGCAAATTATACTATAAAATTAGCTCCAACCCAACAAATCGTGTAAGCTTGAACTCAAGATAATGTGGAAGAAAAAGTGGATGCTCCTGAACCATGTCACCACCCTAGAATCTCCAACCAATGCACAGACATAAAAAAAAGTATTCTGAATCTATCTATAATGCTCAGTTCAACTGTCAATAATTTAGTGGTTTGATGTTACGCTTTCTTACATCCAATCTACTGCTTGCTACACCACCACCAGCTGTCGTCATCAAGGTGGACACTGTAGTTTGTCGTGCGTAATGCGCATAGTTCACACCATCTCAATCAATTTGTCATCTTTACCCTGGTGTCCAACAACTTCAACATTATTTACTCGGTGGTTTCACAAAACACCAGAGCAACGGTATTAATGATCAAAACTGAATATAGTATTATACACTTTAAGTGACTATTAAAAGTCGAAATAAATTCACACTAATAAATATTCAATCAAACACAATCGATTTCACAGTAGCAGAGAAATTCAAAACACAACCCAAACAGACTTCAAATACAAACAATAATTATGAATTTTTTTGTAGAAAAAGAAGAAAAAAAGCCGATTGCTTCACAATAACAACAATTTTTTTTATCAAACACAATACACAATGAATTTGTTCAAATAAATTGTTTAAAAAATACATGTACATTTTCTGTGTGTGTGTGTGTGTGTACAAACATGCAGATATTTTTATCTCGTTTAGTAAAAAATATTTATATATATAACTAGGAAACGAAGTTATATGTTTATACATACATGCAATTGATTTAAAATAATAGTAATTGTGGTGTTCAATTTAAAATAATTAATGTTTTAAAGATAAAGCATGTTGTCCATTGATTGTTTGTTTAATAGGTCTAAGTTGACGTAATACATTAGCTAATACTGTTTGTGCATCTTCATTTTTACCAACTAATTTACGTAGACGAATTTTCTTTAATAATTCTCTCACAGTTATAGGCTTTCTCATTAAGTATTTACGTACAGTATTTACTAATTCATTGTCTGTTGCACTTGTTGATGTACTATTACTACTACTACTACTACCAGATGGTAGTAGTATATCAGTTCGTAATTTCTTTGTAGCAGGTGAATCTGATGAATTGTTTATATTACCAGATATAGATAAATCGGTAGGTGAACGTTTTAAACTTGAATTATTTCCATTGTTGATTGATTGATTTTCAATTGAACTGTTAGCATTGTTAATACCAGATGAAAGTGAAGGTGCATGTATGGTTTCTGAGAGTTTTTGCATGACTTCAGCTTTTTTAGCATTTTTTTGTATTGATTTAAGTCGATTGTCAAGATCAGAATCAGATGATGAATAGGTTGAAGAATCTTCTTCATCAGCTGATGAAGAACTGGAACTTGATGATGATCCACTATCATTATCATTGTCTTGAAGTTTTTTATGATTACGATGTGATTTTGTAGTGGCTTCTAATTTATCATCTTCTGATTTATGAATAGATGATATTGAATGTTTAGTTCCTTTTTGAAAATCATTTCTTTGAGATTTTTTCACATCATCTATTTCATTACGCCTCTTGGAATAGACAGTATCATCGTCATCAGGTGAATTTTCTTCCACATTTTGCATATCACGATCAGAATTCTCTTCTTCTTCACTACCTATTAAAAAAAAATAGAATAAAAAACGATAATCAGATTGATCCCGTACAAAGAAATATTTAAAAAAAAATTACAGTACACGATGAAAAGAAAGTATTTTCAATAAATGTTATAAAATAATGGACCAATAGACATAAATACGATGTAACGGATAGGACTATTCGTACAAATATAATTACACAATACTGTGTGGGCTTCAAGTTAACTTTGTCGTTTAGACAGAATAAGGTGATACAATCGATCTCTTCATGCAGCTTGGTTAATTGTATAATTGTTATTCTGTGTTTTACAACAAATGATTTAGTTTTGCATAAAGATTTGTTTTATTTCACAATTTCACATAAACGAACTCATTAATCAAAGTAAGTATAGGAAAGTGATTCATTTCAGAACTAGAAGCTAATCATTTCCAACAGAAAACGGAATAGACTCTAGCAAAGTATGCAAGTTGAGAGAACGAGAAGCGAATGTTCGATACTTAAGGCGAGTTGGTGAGTATGGAGGATTTATCTAGAGGAGTTGGAAAATTGTGATTCGAAACCTATTCGTGATCCCCGGCCATCAGGGGACCGCATCTCTTAAAGTTATTCCACTGACTTGTGGATAAGACCTCTGTACAAGAGACACAGGGAATGGTTGCCCAAGAAAACCATCTGCCTTGGTTTAGGCACCCGTGTAGTATCTCAGCCCACACACTAATTCAATAATTTGTGGTGCATATATATTTTACTGCCCCTTTGTACCAGTGTTTATGTAAATGATGTATTCGACATTTACTCTGTTGCAAGCAGTCACAACTTTAGGTCGATTTGGGGTTAGTGGAAATTAGTAGTGTAAGACCAATGGCATCTCATGTGGATGAATACAAGTGAATCTTGTATGCATGTCTGGATGAGACAATTTGTGCTTATGAGACAGCATACTATGCGGATTGTACTTTTAAGATTCTAGACTTCGCATTTCATAATTTTGTGTATTTAGCACCAGGTATATGAGGGTGGGGGGGCGACAGTAAAAAAAAACTGAAGAGAAATGAGATATTAGGTCAGTGTTTGAAAGGATTCCAGTGTGTTTAAGGACGCGGTCAGGTGACTGGCACTTACCGTTCATTTAATCCATACGTAAGCTTATTATTATTCCATTGGTATGAGGAAGTAAATTTTTACTAATCAAAACAACTAACTTACTGATATCAGTAAGTAGAGTTTTCAAAGCGACCTCCTCATCGACTCCAGTTTCTTCATATATTTTTTCTCGTTCTTCACTAGACAATTTCTCTTCATCAGATGATGAATTAGTCATGTAATCTACCTAAAATGAAGATGAATAAATAAGATAATCAAAAACTCTAAACAATTAGTTCCCTTAATAAACTTATATAAAGAATAAAAATAAAAATCTTATGGGAAGAAGTGAATTAATTTGATATTGTACTACATTAAGTACTGATTATGGTAACAGAGTTATTCGACAAATGTAGTTTACACAAGAAATATGTGACAAAATAGGCTTGTTCAAATAAAAATATATACTTTATATAAAGTATTTGTAAAGCAAAAACAGAATCGAATAGTGTATATAAAAGGTATGACAAAATACAGAGTCTTCTGACTACCCTAAGCAACAATGCAAGCATGTTCGGGATGCGGTTTTCCCCCTCAAAATGCAAAATGTTGCTTCAAGATTGGGTTGCATCGGCACCTGAACTAGTGATAGGTAGTGAAGTGGTCGAAAGTGTAGACCGCTTCACTTATCTTGGGAGTCTCATCAGTGCTGATGGCCTGGTGACTGACGAAATCTCGGCACGGATACAGAAGGCTCGATTGGCTTTTGCCAACCTGTGTTACTTATGGCATAGGCGAGATATCCGTTTGCTGACTAAAGGACGAGTGTACTGTGCAGTGGTTCGCTCCATCCAACTATATGTCTGTGAAACATGACCAGTGAGAGTAGAAGATACACGTCGGTTATTGGTTTTCGATCATAGCTGTCTTCGAAGCATTGCTCGTATATCGTGGGACACCCGAGTGAGCAACGCTGTTATTAGGACACGGGGTGCTAGGTAAGAATGGCAGATCAACCGATGAAGTAGTGAAACTTCATCAGTTGAGGTGGTTGGGACATGTGTTGCGTATGCCTAACCACCGACTGCCTCGACGAGCCTTGTTTTGTAGTGCAGGAATAGCTTGGAAGAAAGTTAGGGGCGGCCAGACCAAAACATGACAGAAATCCATGAAGTCATTGACGAGTGGACTTAGCCATGTCGGTAATTGTCGACTACCTGGTTGGGGTCCGCTAGATGATAATAATCGATGGTTAGAGACCTTGAATGACATGGCTCAAAATCGTTCGCAATGGCGCCAGTGCATTTATTCTTTGTGTACTCTCAAACCCTAATCTTCTGGATTCTTCAACACCTCTAGTTTCGACTCTCTAAACTTATCTCATTGAATCATACTTCGTGAATAATATCTTCTAATTCTAACCTCTCCGATTACTTCTAATACCTTTACTACCTCTTCTACTATTGGATTTGAATTGACAATTATATCTCTGTGCTGATGTGGTATGGCGACATGAACTGATGTACATACGTACGAAGTTCTACGTTGCAACTGACTGACTGACTGATGACTAAGATAAGTTAAATAATTAAAAATAAAAGTATCAATAGTGCAATAAGTCTTACTTCATCTCCTTCATGATCGTCTAGTTCACTCTCATCTTGTGCTTCTTCATCCGGATCATCTTCTTCATCAGACGAACCCATATGAATAGCTTTCCGTTTACGCCTTTTAACACCACGTCGCATTTTTGTAACAATAGCAGCTGCACGTTGTTTCTTTTTAGCAAGGCGAGTACGTTCGGATGATTTCATCAACAAACCACCTTTAGATCCGCCTTTAGTACGATCATCAGGATCTTCAAACAATAGACTTTTTCCTTTACTAGAACTTGGACCATCATCTGTTTTAGTTGGATCAGAGTTTAGATTTTTCAAGCGATTATCATCATCCAGATCATCTTCATCGTCGTCATCATCATCAGCTTCGCTACCACTGTCCAATTCTTCTAAATCAGTAAGTTTTAAAGAGTTTTCAGGTTTTAGATCTTTTGTTTTTACTTCTGCAGAATTTCGCTGATTTAAATTCGAATCTCCAAGGGAAGACAGGAACCTGAAAGTAAAATTACATGAATGAAAATGAGAAAATTGTGACTTGTTTTTTTACCTTAGAAAATGTAAAGGTTTCGAATTTAGTCGATTGTTTTACAACAATTTTACTACAAAGTCTTTGGGTTTTGTCATACAAAGCATGATTAAGTTACGTTACAAAAAGTAAATCATACTTTTTAGAACTAGTACAGAGAAATACAACAGTCTTTAATGCAATAAATTGGACTAGAATGAATTAAAAAAAAATCATAACAATTATCTGATATTCTAAATCCGAAGTTTAATCACACAATCACATTTCTAAAAAAATTTGTTTGATTCATTTTGATGAAGATTAGTTTTTAGAATGCATTGAACATACTTTAATCCTTTCGAAATTTCGCGATCCATATTTGTTTCATCATCGCTAGCATTATCAGTAAGTTTTCGTTTAACCATAACATTAAATAAGTTGAGTGTTTTGTTTAAACGGCTATATTCAGCTTCAGCTTCATCTTCTCTAAGAAAACGATAATTTATTTCCGGTTTCATTTTGTACCTGTTTTTATAAATTGAAAACAGAAAAAAAATAATTTTGAAAAGTATATAGGGTACTTTAACTCCGCCGTATGCAGCCCCGCTGTAATGACTGCCGGTTCCAAGCCCGAATAAAGGAGGAGGTGGTTAGGCATGGGGGTTGGCATTCCCAATCATGTAGAAAACTAACTTGTTAAAAAAAAACACTAATATTGGGTACTTTAAAGCAAATATAAGTTGCAGTCACATTGAGGTTATGTATTTTAAATAACGGACAATGCTTTTTTTGACGATGTGAGAGAAATTCAGAAATGTTCATTGGACTTAGCTATATTATTGTGATGCATGATCATAGCAACTTGTAACTAAATTCTTCCATGTTAGTATTTTAAATCTAATTGTAATTATGAATTCAAATAATGCGCGTTTGTAGGTAGCTAACGACAACCAAAACACAAATAAATTGAATTAATGTTATTGTACTAGTAACTTTGTTTGCCTAAAGTGTTATGCACTGACTGACTGGAATAGGTCAAAAGCATTTATGCATTGAGAAAAAAAACAATTAAATGTTGAGAAAACCGTTAAGCGGTTTATATATTTTTTGATTGGAAATTGTAAAACATCCCTTTATCTACTAGAGTAGTTAGTGTGCATTATCTAAACGGAGTTGAGAAAATATATTAATTATTTAAATAGTTGGTGAACTAGTTTAAACAACATTAAAATCAAGACACAGCATCTTATCAATGAACAAAAATGTATAAAATTCAAACTAATGATCATTCGAAATTCATTTCGTCAAGACAATGACACGATCGGGGTAGAAACACCATCACAGATTAACATAAAACTAAAACATAATTTGTTGGTGTTATGTACTAAAATGTAGATGGATTAAGATGATATATATATATGGTAATATGGTCGCCGATCGACTAAAGCACAATCTAAAAGATAATATAACTGGGGAAAAATGTCTATTTTACAGCAATACTTAAATAAGATTAAAAAAACAACAATCGTACGTTGGTTTAGTCATAGTGTAGTGGTGACTTACAGCTGGATCTAGTGTTGAACTCCTAACAAAATGACTTATAATTTAGAGATTAGTTCATTTGGTCATGTACTACCTATCTAACTAATTAAAACCAATGTCATCGTCGGAAGCCATTACCTAACTGGAAACTCAGGAATAGATATTAAGGCTATTAATTTTTTGATGGAAGGATTCATGCACATGAAAACATCAAAACTCTGCCTGAAGCCCTTTTAAGATTACTGCCGGTCTTAAGACCAGATGAAAGAGGGGGGTTGAGCATGGTGTTGGGAATCATATCCCAAGTAAGACAACATTGCTAAAAATATCAACACGAAAAACTCACTTAAACCATTTAAAACTCTGCTCTGGGGATTGAAGTGTCTTCAATTAAAAGAGTTATGATGTCTCGTGATGGAAATCAAGATTCGTCGGGAATCACGAGGCCGATGTCAAATTTAATAACCAGAGCAACAATTAATAAGGGTATATGGAATGCTCGAACAGTATAGGAGACCATGGGGACCCTCAAAGTAGATGTAGAAATAAAAGGATAAAATCTGACGGTGTTTGGAATAAGAGGAAAACATTCGGTCCTACATTCGTAGAAGACGTCAATCATTCAACAGCATAGAAGACGTAGGGACACAGCATTAGATCGGCCCAACCCGTGGTGGCCAAGATGAAAATGAAATTAAACAAGCCTTGGACAACTGGACAAGTAACATAACAAAACTTGAATACAGCTTTTGTTTGAGACATTGACAAAATCTACTAATTCAAGATAGTTCTCAGCTATAATTTCCAAGCCCTGCAACGATCTCCCGGCAGTAGCTGCTACTTTGACGTGGTGGTCGGGCTTACCTATCGTGATGATCCAACCGAGCTATACTGGTTGGAACATTTCGACGGGGATAACCACATCCCGAATATGCTTGCATTGTTGCTTAGGGTAGTCAGAAGACTCTGCATTTTGTCAGCGTCTTCACCAAATAGGACAATGTCATCGGCATATTCTAAGTCAATAAGCGAGCCTCCTGGTAAAAGGTCTACTCCTGAAAATTCAGACGAGGATAAGGTTACATCTAGCAGCATGTCTATGACAAAAGTAAACAAGAATGGAGAGAGTGGACATCCCTGACGGACACCACTTGAAGTAAAGAATTCCGGTGACAGTTCGCCATAAGCTCTAACTCGACCAGTGGTGTTTGAGTAGAGAGCTTGTATGAGATTAATGTACTTCTTTGGTACACCTTTCAATGACAGACACTGCCATAGAACCTCATGATCGACAGAGTCGAATGCCGCCTTAAGGTCGAGAAATACTACTCTGAACGTGTGTCTTTGTTCTAGGACCTGACGTAGTGTGAATATTTGGTCTATACATCGACGTCCAGATCGAAAACCGGCCCGGTTTTCTCTAGTCCGCTCTTCACAAGCTTCCGTTAAGCGCCGAAGTATTATTGAGGCCAATATTTTAGATACTATATTAGTTAGACTCATTCCCCTGTGATTGTCACAAGAAGACTTTTGTCCTTTCTTATAGATTGGGACAATCAGGGATTGAGACCAGTCGGATGGGATTACGTCCAGTTCCCAGATTCTACCTAAGATCTCAGTCAACCTAGCTGCTGGAAAACTCATCCCACCTGGCTCTGAGTACGATGAGGGGCGGAGTCAGCTTAGGCACAGGCTGATAAAAAGCCTACGTAACGATCGAGAACAGTGGTGGGTGGCGAAAGCGAGAGAGATGGAAAAGGTAGCGGTGGTAGGCAACAGTAGGCAACTATTCAGATTAATCAGGGAAACTGGTATCAGGAACACTAATGTGAGTCAGACTATTTCGGAAAAATATGATCGTATTATACATTCTCAATCCAGGAGATTGGATCGATGAGCAGAACACTTTAGGGATCAGTTCAACTGCCTTCAACCACACTTCGGTTACCCACGATTTCCAGTCATCCTGAATGGCAAATCGAAGTAAGTCCTCCGAATCTTATTGACATTGAAAAGTTATAGAATTTGAGAACTGGACGTAATTCCATCTGACTGGTCTCCATAACTGACTGTCCCAGTCTATAAAAAAGGAAAAAAGTCCTCCTTTGACAGTCACAGAGGAATCGGTTTAACTAATATTGTGTTGAAACTGTTAGCCCCGATTATACTTCGACGCTTAACTAGAGATTGTGAAGAGCAGACTAGAGAAAACCAGACTGATTTCAGACCTGGACGTGGATATATAGACAACATCTTCACACTACGACAGGTACTAGAACACAGAAACACATATAGGCGTCCAACAATAGTTACCTTCTTGGACCTTAAAGTGGCATTTGACTCTGTCGACCGTGAGGTTCTGTGGCAGTGTCTGTCATTGAAAGGTGTAACAGAGAAGTACATTGACCTTAGACAGGCTCTCTACTCGAACACTACAAGTCGAGTTAGAGCTTATAGCGAACTGTCATCGGAACTGATTACTTCGAGTGATGTTTGTTAGGGTTGTTCACTTTCTTCATCCCTATTCAACTTTGATTTTGGAGTGCATTAAGATATGACTGTTTCATCATCTGAGTTTCCAGCAGTTGAACGTTTACTGGGAGATTCACTTGTTGACTTAAACAGGGAAGATGACTAGTTGTTTGGTGAAGACGCTGACAAAATGCAGAGTCTTCTGACCACCCTAAGCAACAATGCAAGCACGTTCGGGATGTGATTCGCCCACTCGAAAGGCAAAATGTGGCTTCGGGAATTGCTTGTATCGGCACCTCAACTAGTGATAGAGAGTGAAGTAGTTGAGCGTGTTGACCGCTTCACTTATCTGGGGAGACTTATCAGTGCCGATGGCCTGGTGACTGATGAAATCTCAGCTCGGACGCAGAATGCTCGATTGGCTTTTGCCAACCTGCGTCACTTATGGTGTAGGCGAGATATCCGTTTGCTGACTAAAGGACGAGTGTACTGTGCATTAGTTCGCTCCGTCCAACTATATGTCTGTGAAACATGACCAGTCAGAGTAGAGGATACTCGTAGGTTACTGGTTTTTGATCACAGAGTTCTCCGATGCGTGTAGAAATAGGTTGGAAGAAAGCTAGTGGCGGCCAATCCAAAACATGGCACAAATCCATGGAGTTACTGACAAGTGGATTTAGTCCTGCTGGTAAATGTCGACTACATGGTTGGAGTTCGTGAGTCGATAGTAGTCGATACTTAGAAACTTTGAATGAATGGCTCAAAATCTTTTGCAATATCCATTTTTTATGTTCTCTGAAATTGTAATCTTCTTAATTGCTTGTCACCTTTGCCTTTCTCTTTCAATGTTTATTTCACTCGATTATACTTCTTGAATTAATGTCTTCGAAACCTAATCTCTCCGATTACTGCTACATCTACCACTGTAGGATTTGAACTTGTGTACGTAAATACGAAGTTCTACGTTGTTATTGACTGATTGAAAACCAAAAGAAATCAAACTCGACGAAGTCCTGGAATGTAGAGATGCTTTTACACACCTGGGAAGAATGTGAACGACAGGTGAAGGACGCTATCCTTACAACTGACGAACATATAAAACCGAGGACGATTGTTCACCAACACGAAAGTCCGAATTTTCGATACGAACGTTAAAAACAGTTCTCTTGTATGGAGCTGGAACTTCGAGAACCAACAAAACTATCATCCAAAAGATACGGGTATTTATAAACAGCCACCTATGCAAAATACTGGTAGAAGATAAACTGGCTTTCAGCTGAGGAGGAAATCATGAAGAAATAGTGGAGGTAGATAGGACAGATTGTAGAAATCACCAAACTGCGTCCCGACGCAAGCCCTTACGCGGAACCCTCAAGACAAAAGGAAAAAAGACATTAAAGAACATGTTGCACTGAGAATCGGAGTAAAGCATTAAACGTATGAATAGAATTTAGTAACACTTGGAAAGAACGAAGGACAGGGAAACTGGAAATGGCTGTTTAATTGCCCATGCTTCATGAGGGATAACAGGCATAAGGGAAAAATTATCACGGTTTATTATTTATGGTTATTACGCAAGAGTATCCATAGCATACTTCATGGATATTCTTCCGACCAGTTATTTTTAGTGTATCAAAGACTAGAGTGCAGAATTTATTGAAGTCCTGTGGTTAGCATCCTTTAAGGGGAGGTGGGATCATAAGACACGAAACGCTAGGGATTTCAATCAGTTACAACATTAGCACAGACACGCAATTTTCAATTGCGACCGCATAGTGGTACAGGTAGCAGAAGTATTAGCAGTAATCGGAGAGATTAGGGTTCGAAGGTATTATTCAAGAAGTATATCTAGTGAAACGAACTTACAAAGAGAAAGACAAAGGCAATCAGAGATTTGGTAATATGGTGTAATACAAACTTACTAAGTGATCACAATAAGGTTTTGTTTACACAGTGAACAGATTTAAATAACAAAGTTATTTGTACTTAGGATATAAGACTAAGAGCGTGATATAAGCACGCTTAAAACGAACTTTAGAGGCTTCACAGGTATTTCTATTAGGAAATTAACGTGTAAATTTCATATTTAGTGCAAAACTTAAAGTGTAGGACGCAGCAGGTGGCTGAATAGAGAATAAATGATAATATAAAGACCAAAATCACTCACCAAGCATTTACTGGATAAGCATCGAAATTACCATCTTTACACTGACAAAATACAAAATACTCAACATTCTCTGACACACTACCTTCTCGGACTCCTCTAAAACGACGACGACTAGCTTTACCTTTTCCAACAGTCATTAACCACGGTTGATCGTCAGGTTTATAACTTTCCCGTACAACACCAAATTTCTTTAATCTTGCCTCTTCTTTAGCTTCACGTCCGAATTCGCTACCAGCACCAGTGTCTGGCATTTCAGTTGTACCATATAAACTCCGATATGCTTTAAGATTATTTTCACGTTGCATAAAAACTTCAGGAGCTGATGATAAATCAAGCCTGTCAGCTGCGTGGAAACGTAATACACTGAATCTCTTATCCTTCTTATTTGGAACTCTAACCTAAAATATGAAAACAGCCGTGTTATTTGTAAGCAAATAGAATTAACTAAAATCGCGGCAACAAAAGAGCTCATAGTTTAATCAAATAGTGATTTACTGATTCGAGTATTCTAGTATAATTTGAAATCACTAATTTTGATAGAACTATGCAACTTATTACATTTATCCACTAGTTTTCTGGGTGATACTAAGAAAATTCATTCTGACCTAGAGTTTGTTAGATAATATGAAATAATGGACAGTCAGCTAATCTCTATACAACTTTTTGCTAAAAAAATATCAAATGATCTGTAATCTTTTCTAGTATATAACTATTTTCTATTACATCAACTCAACAATGCAACCTTCCATCATTTTACACAACATCCGTAAATGTTTGACTTATATTTGATCTGTACTGAAGAAATATTTGTATGGTTGATTGACCTTACTTAATTTATCGGTTCTTGTCTAATGATTCACCTACCTGTCTAAGCATAATTCGCTATTTATTTAGATTACTAGATATTATCGTACGTTGTTGCATAACAGAGGGATAACTAACTTCGTACGCTGACACACATGTATGGATACTGATGTATTTATTATAAATTTAAAACTCTATACTTTGAACAACAGCTTGACTGTTGCAAGAGTAATCGCCAGCTAACTGATGAGTCATTTGTTCAGTTCTCAGTTGCTGTCAGTGGTAATTAAACGCTTAGAAATTCGATTTGTATGGTGTATATATATCTTGGTATGCCTTTTTTTTTTACAAATGTTTGTGTTAAAAAAAATACAGTTGGTCGCTCATATATAATGTTGAAGTTAATTTTAAATCATCTATATAAATCTACTTTTCTAATTGGAATGAATTGGACTGATGATTACAAGTGCCCAATTAAGATTAGGTAACTTTAAAATCCCAATTAATACTTTGGTAAGAATAACAAACCTGCATTTCTCTAATAACATTACGTTGAGACGTTTGTTTTTCATCAGTTGTTTTCACTTTCTCAGAAATTTTGTTAAGAGAAGTACTTCCTGACTGAGCATTTTGTGGACGAGCAGAATGAGTAACGAGGTTGCTCACTCTTGCAGGGGATGACACTGAAGTATTTTGTATGGAATTCGCACGGGATACATTCGACGTAGATTGAATTGAGGATATTTTAAGCGGACCAATAGGAGTAATTTTTAGACCTGTTGAAGAGGCTGAAGCAGTTACATTTACTGGAGTGGAAGCATTGCTGATTGGCCGAATCACAACAACAGAGCCAGTTGAAACAACTGAAGAATCTCGAGGAGGGGTAGCAATGAAGTTATGAGTTGGACGAGTGTACTGAATCCCTTTACGGAGAGGTAAATGTGACACAACCGTAATGTTTTGAGCTTCAGAAACTTCAGTTATTTGAGGTGCGACCTTCTCCACTCTGTCATAAAACAATCAAATACAGTTAATTAACGAAAATTTGAAAATTATAAGAGGAAGCTATAAGCTAAGTTAGAGTTTGTATGAGTCTATAATCTTTTAATGAAATAAGTAATAATGTAGATAGTCAATACGAGTTTCACTAAAACAGAAAGGAAGTAAACTGAAGGAATTTCAGCCAAATTTTTGAATTAATTACTCAGAACTATGATTTAGTCGATAAATTAAACACAACGTAGAACCTAGCACATATGTACCTCGGCTCAAGATTCCATACCTGATCAGCACAGCGAGATGAAATTTTCAGGGTGAATTCTAAAGTAGGAGTGATAGAAAAGACTAGATAGCCAATAAACAATCCGAAGAGAAAATATTAGTGACAAAAAAAACAGTGAGGAATTGAGAAACTTAAGATCTAAGGTAAGACAAAGAGTGGATGCTCTTGCGTCGTTGATAAAAATCTTGAGCTGTCATTCTCTAACTATTGGTTACGTTATTCATGAGTACCCCAACCATGTAGTCAGCACATACCTACATGGCATATTCAACAGTATATCTATTCATGAACTGATCGTGTCTTTGTTTGGCTTCCAAAAATACTGAGCACAGTTGCAGAAGCTGGTTATTGTTGTGTTCCCTGAGCTGGTACAATCCCAGACACACCCTGGTGTCTTTCACTTTGTTTGAAATTACTTATGTAAGAGTCAGTCCCACGGTATAATTAGTAGGTCGAACGTTTAGCATTTCGTAGGAGAGCAGAAAGTTTTCAGTAAAACTCACTCCTTACTTAACCCGAACAGCAATTATTGGGAGTGTAGGTAGATACAATGGAGAGAAAACAGTGCATACCCCCACTTCTGTGTCAACTCGGGCAGAGCACAAGCGGTATAAAAGAGACCATCCTGCGTCCGAGCTTAGTGTTATACCAACACCGGTGAGGTCAAAAGAGGTGGCGGTCAAGTATTTAGACTCACGGCGGATAGATCGTACCGATCCTCTATATTGACTGGATAAGGTCGAGTGAATGATCGCTTGGATCTTGAATGCATGTCCCGAAGATGGAATGTATCGATAGCGGACTCTAGAATCCTAGCCAAGGAATTCTGTCAGCCTTTTTGACATAGAGTGCAGGCACTAAGATTCACAACATGTAGTATGGAGAGGTTTCCAGAAAACAGAAATAACATCTTGCAGACTACAACAATTAGCATCAGCGGTACACAGAAATAGAGTTATGGGAAGGTTGGTAGTGGGAATAGAGGAATATCATTAACTGACTGAGGGGTCGACCGTGAACAAAATCTCTATTGCTATTAGAGGTACAACGGCGGTCGTCACTTTTCCGTAATCGCACAGTGGAAACCTAGAAAGGTACAAAGAGAGCTGACATTGAAGTTATTATTGGTAGAAGATATTATTCAAGAAGCATGGTTCAGAGAGATAAGTTTAGAAAGACGAAACTGGAGGTGTTGAAGAATCCAGACTAGGATTTGAGAGAACACAAAGAATAAATGCACCGAGGCCATTACAAACGGTTTTGAGCCATGTCATTCAGGGTCTCAAACCATCGATTATTAACATCTCGTGGACCCCAACCAGGTAGTCGACAACTACCAACATGACTCAGTCCACTTGTCAATGACTTCATGGATTTCTGTCATGTTTTGGTCTGGCCGCCCCTAACTTTCTTCCAACCTACTCTTACACTACAAAACAAGGCTCGTCGAGGCAGTCGGTGGTTAGGCATACGCAACACATGTCCCAACCACCTCAACTGATGAACTTTCACCACTTCATCTATTGATCTGCCATTCTTACCTAGCACCCGTTTCCTAATAACAGCATTGCTCACTCGGGTATCCCAGGATATACGAGCAATGCTTCGAAGACACCTATGATCGAAAACCAGTAACCTACGAGTATCTTCTACTCTCACTGGCCATGTTTCACAGACATATAGTTGGACGGAGCGAACTAATGCACAGTACACTCGTCCTTTAGTCAGCAAACGGATATCTGGCCTACGCCATAAGTAACACAGGTTGGCAAAAGCCAATCGAGCCTTCTGTATCCGTGCCGAGATTTCGTCAGTCACCAGGCCATCGGCACTGATGAGACTCCCCAGATAAGTGAAACGGTCAACACGCTCAACTACTTCACTCCCTATCACTAGTTCAGGTGCCGATGCAACCCAATCTTGAAGCAACATTTTGCATTTTGAGGGGGAAAACCGCATCCCGAATATGCTTGCATTGTTGCTTAGGGTGGTCAGGAGACTCTGCATTTTGTCAGCGTCTTCACCAAATAGGACTATGTCATCGGCGAGCCGCCTGGTAAAAGGTCTACTGTAAATTCAGACGAGGATAAGGTTATTTCTAGGAGCATGACTATGATAGAATTAAACAAGAATGGAGAGAGTGGACATCCCACAATATGGGATTAAAATCGGGGTTACAGAAAATGAAGTGATAAAACTACAAAGACAGTATGATTACTGGCACACTATCAACTTTACAGGTAAACACAGAAATGATGAGGAATTGGTTTGAAACCTGAATATGGATCTTGTTGAAATAGAACACATAAAACCAAGACTTTTCACAGACGTATCAAGGGCTATTAATCGCATGACCTGTTTCCAGGCACGAGCACCAATGACAAGGCACTTAGGCAATATTGATGATTTTAGAATGACTGAGCCAAACTTTGCAGCTGTTTGGAGTTTGTCACAAGAATCATTTAAGTTTAATTTATTGACATTTCGTGAGGATTTAGTAAACACAACAAGGGTGGATAGTTTGTCATCAAAGACATTTTCATATTGCCGGTGCTCTTCAACATTGATTTAAATTTAACATAATTTAAGTAAGAAGCGATACTGAAGTAGTCAAATAAAATTTTACCTTATTGGTGTGAGATTCGGTATACTAGACATTTGCTGGCCACCGAGGAATTATTTCAAAATGATCAACTCTTAACAAAGTAATCCATACTTTGAGGGGGAAAAAATAGCACAACACCTAGGCTGTGGACTTGAAAACTGTGAGGATAACTCGAATTCCTTTCTTATGGCTAATAGGTCACAAGTAAATACAATGGGAGAATGAGCAACAACACAGAGGCGTCAGACAACGACTGTTATGAACAGGGCGCCTTTAGTGTGAGTGGCCTTACACATACACAAACTTCAAATTTCAAACTCCGTTAAGCAAAATTAGCAAGTTTAATCTCCTTTTGGATTTGTGTGGATAGCAGAAGAGCTCTTGTGGTTAAAGAGAGACATTATTTTTGTTATTAACAAGTCCAGGGACAAGATCACTAGTTAACAAGTGGAAAACTTATCGGGAAGTAAAACCTAGAGTAGTTTCCTTCAGAGACTAAGAAACTGAAATCAGCATTTAACAATCCGTTCGAAGATTTAAGAGACGCTGCCACTATTGCTCTCTTTAGGGGACCCCAAGACAAAAATTGTAAGTGCGAAAAACTTTGTGTTCATCCCTGTAGAAACTTCCAAGTGAGCTTTAATACTTGATAAAGCAGTTGACCTGTGGAAATGAATAGGATTGTATGTTACGATTGTATGTCCCTCCCAATCCTTCTTTACTGAATAGTTAGAAGATCTAATGCCCCTAACTACCTAAATTAACAGAATTATCATTATAGGGTTTCGGATAATGACTGTCACTTTCTCACTAATGACTCGCTTTGTAAGGGAACCTGTGGTATTCTAGTGAAAAGGCGTGGCCAGAGAAATTCGACCGTTACTGATTGACGTTATACAGTAACATCGTTGCAGTCAAGATGTTAGGTGTTCGCTCATGAGCCCGAAGGTATGGAGTTTGGTACGCACGCGCGTAGTCACAGATACACTCTGCTGATCGATCCCATACTAGGTTGAGACGTCTGTCCAGTTTTACGGTTATGGTCAGCCTTTGAACAGATTATGATTTGAGTGAATAGAACCACGGAGGTTAATATTAGCATTTATTATTGTCTATTGAGAGCATTTATCCAGGCCAGTCACGCGGTCATCAAGAGAGCGTAATCCAAGTTAGGTTATAACCAAGCCCTGTGACAAGCAGGAGGTCAAGCCATAAAAATAAAATAGGTCTGCATATATTGATAAAGATCACCTACTTTGGTAATCTAAGGTCACCAGCCGTAATTAAATTTCGACGATCTGTAATTCAGAAATGAATGGAATCTCGTAGTACTACAAGTGTCATTGTAAGCAGTCATACGAATCACAGTTTATTTTTTAATCCCATCAAATACTTCTTCAAAGAAAAAGTCACGTTCAGAATGCAATTTTCAGAAACCTTTAAAAGGACAATAAATTCTGGGTTATTTATGGCCAAAATGTTCGCTATATGCTTATTAGACCTATTTAGGACATGTCTATCACTTCATTTTTATACTGTGTTTTAATTTGACGAAAGGCGTTCTCCACATTCCAATAACTTATCTTAACTTTCTTTTGTGTGGTACAGTGGTTACTCTTGATTATGAATGCGGAAAATTTGTTTTTTGGAGATTTGTTGCTCATGGCACAGCATTAGTTTTTATGACTGTTCTTAAAATTTCTTGTTACTGTTGGATTGACGGTCAATACTTAGCGTCTGACAAAGCTTGATAAACTTATACCTCAATCGCTGAGACCAAACAAACTGAAGATTGATCTAAATACAGTTTCATTCTGAAGAGTAACCCTCAAAATTTCGGGCTAAACAACACTAGTTTTAAGCCAATAACTCAAAGAAAAATTATATCGATCAGTGCTAGCACTATTCCTCCCCGACTGGTATGTTTCTGTCATTGATTATTGATTCCAGACTCGTTAAGTTCATAACCAGAATACATCGTTACAACTTAACTGCATGTGGACATAGTCAAAGCGTTCTTGCCAATAAATTTTTCACGCAGAATGCTTTCTATAACAGTACGGAATTAAAACAAAGAGAGTATATTCTTTTATTCGACCCTTGCAGGATAAAACCTGCAACCTCTCTATGTCTGGTACAGCGTAACAAGTGGTCCTCAGACCATCAATTATTCACACTATATCATGCGATGCAGAATTTACTGTAGCAACTGAGGTTTTGGAATAGCGACAAACTAGTTCTCAATGAATTTATCGATCTGATGTTTGTCTTTGTCTATGAACACTTACACAGCACAAAATTAGATGTCGTTGACTAGTGGGACTGAAATGCGTTGTCCGTGATCTGTTTCTGATCAAGTATCATAAACCCTATCAAAGTAGAAGTGTAAAATAAAAGGTTTAGAATATACATTCTGAAAATAGTATGTGAAGAAGAGTGTTCTGTGAGCTGGCTGATTGTTATGACAGATACGGAGCACAGCCTATCTAGTTATGATCTTGTATGAACGCATGACCGAGCGCCTTGAGCTGGGGTGATTAACGTTTGATTTTCGCCTCAAAATAACACGCAGTTTGACAAAGAAATAAGTAGTTACTATATACTCTTTCGGTATAACGAACAAAAATGGCATTAAGACTATCATTTATATCTAAATGGATCGCCTATCGAAAAAATCTACTCGGAGAAGCCCTAAATTCTTGAATAATAACGACTCTACTAGTATGTTTACTCCGTGCTCACGAGCTCCTTCTGCAGCCGATAATGCTATGACCGGACTTACGCCACATATGTCGCACTTAGGCGGAATATACTCTGAAGTGGAAACTCTTGCAAGCTGTCTATCAATACGTGATGATCTTAAACAAGAAATAAAGGCTTTGTCACCCCAAAGGCCACTGTTGTCAAAGGACGTAGTTTCGGATAATTTTAAAGATACTGTTAAGGTAGCATCTGCTATCAATTTCGTTACTAGCGCAGCTAGTAAAGGACTCAAAGTGTGTGATTTTAATGTACTCGGAAAAATCTTGCTTAAATCACCGGGGGGATCGATTGTGAAAGCCACTAACTTACATATTAGTCCATTCCAATATATTTGTTTCAATAAAAAGTGTCACGAAACTATAGCGTTCAATCTTGTTTAGATTTTACTCACGGTTAGCACCTAAACCACTGAAAGAATGTGAAGAGTTGGTATGCTCACTTATGAAGTTCAGGAATGCCTATATATTTTTGATAAAATCACCAGTCAGAGACTTGCTCAGAAGCTTACTTCAAACAGTGATAATGATTTAGAAAGTACAGAGAATTCCGCTGTCTCATAAATGGGATTCACTTGTGCGATTAAAATTTTGCCTGTAAGTTGAAACTTTAATTTATCAAGGAAGATAACTCGCCCTTAACTTAATATAAGTCTGTTGCTACCTCACATAACCAAAGTAGGTCTTTTGTCCTCTGATGTTATAATTTATAAGGCACTGTAAAAACTCAAATCGCCCAGGCTATATGTGACGAGAGAATAACAGTAATATATTTATTCTTAAATAACAGTATGTTACAAGAGGTATGCCAGTTTACAGGCTAGACCAAGTTATCACAAGTGCTACTACATGCGCTGCAGAAGTTATTGCACTTAAGTTAAGTATAAGAGTTAGTTTCTGATAGCACACTCACACTATGTCACTGACAGGAACATCTTGATACAGCCACATTTCAGTAGGTGCACAGTAGGGTTCTTGGGTGGCTTGCTTAGATCAATAGTAAATTCGGTGGGAAAGGTCAATCCGAAAGCACTTGACACGATCTGTGACCTAGACGTGCGCGAAAATAGGGTGCATTTTATCGAGAGGCACCATGGATGTTGCACTGTGAATAGGGCCCAACCAAACGCGAATAGACTCTTAGATACCAGGTTTGATACTTCTTGTTATAGGAAGGGTTTTATGAGTATGCAGATAAGAACTGTTCTATCCACCATTTCGTCATTCTAGGCAAAGCAACAAACGATAGGTGACCGACCGAAACCCTAATTTGTAAATTAAGGAAATATACCTTGCGCTAATGATATTTAAAACGCTCACCGCAAGCTTAACGTAAGTAGATTTAATACTATACAGACTAAAAGGAGTCAAAATGTCCCAGGGTTAGACAAAAAATTTCTATTTGCAGAGTCTGTAAGATATGAATATCCTCATAGCTCTCCCGATGAACAGTATGGATTGCCAGATTACTAGGTTATTAACCACGACATGCAAATAACTTTCTCAACCATGCTACAAACTGACCCAACCAAATAAATTTACCCTACCGAAATAGTGGCTGTTTTGGTCTACAGATACATCTGGTCCAACTGGCACTGCGATGTGTTCAAACTGTAGCTCATAATATCAGGTTTCAAGACCAAACAATGGTCCAGTCAATACTGAAATATGTACATTCCTGAAATGTATATACAAAACACCTGACACTCGGACTACTGTGAATGTTCTTATTATTAATGCATTTATACATGCATTCACTCTAAATTTTAGTGCAAAAGTCATTAAGGGAGATTTCAATTACCCTGAAATAGTTTAAAGTATTGATGACGGTTGATGATGTTAGTGAGGTGATGACGAATTCTTAGCAACAATTAACATGAACTATTCGCTATAGTGAGTTTTCCTCCCAACCGGATACGATGATATACTTGTTGGGGAAGTTCGATCCCCAGAAATCACTTGATAAAGGTCTTAATTTTAGGTTTTATTTATAGGCTGATCATTTGACCTTGAGATTACATTTCCCACCCAGGAAAATCCTTGGCTTTGATTGGCTGATGTGTCATTTTAGTACGCTATTTTTGTGACCCTCTCAGGGACATGTCTATGAAATATAAATAAACGCGATTTGTGCGTTTGAAATCATTTAACTTGCTGAGTTTTTGTAGAATACACTTTCCTTCACTTAGTTGGGGCAGCAGATCAGAGTAGCTTACCGTGTCACTGGTTCATTGACTCGTTCGCGTTTATCGACTAAGGTGAACTCGTAATAGTTTCAAGCATATGGATTGAAGAGAACAACAATATTAGATCTAAAATTTGGTGGAGGTATCATTCAACTATCTAAACAAGTATAAAGTGAACTTGAAAGTAGTGACCATGACATAGTGGCTGGTTCCCTTCCTATCCGTACACCATGTAACCATCACACACAGAAAACTAGGAAAACAGGTATTATGAACATGTCTTCTTTTTGGTTACCAGCCTTGCTAACCCTATTAACACATTCTACTAGATA